CAGGGCTGTCTCTAACGAAATTGGCCAAAACATTGGGTGTGAGTGACACTACAATGCGTCGAATTGCTGAAGAGGACCTACGCTTCAAGTCCTATGTAATAAAAGTTCGACAAATGCTCTCTGAGGCTGCCAAGATGAACAGAGTTGCTCGCTGTAACTTGCTTCTGTGTTCGTTAAAAAACGAAGCTGCGGGACGCATCAGGTTTTTTTCGGACGAAAAAATTTTTTCTGTCGATGCCAAGGTGAACCGGAGGAACGACTGTTGGCACGCCCGCGACCCCGAAGATGTGCCCATAATAGCTAGGACGAAGTTTCCGGTCTCTGTTCACGTCCTAGGCGTTGTCTCCAGTGAGGGTCACGTCATGCCGCCACATTTCTTTCAAAAAAAAGAAACCGTCACAAAAGAAGTATATTTACACGTTTTGACGAAGATAGTGAAGCCGTGGATAGAAACCGTGGCCGCCGGGAAGCCGTACGTCTTCCAGCAAGACGGCGCGCCAGCGCACACGAGTCACTTAGTGCAAAACTGGCTGTCGGATAAAATGGACATGTTTTGGTCAAAGGAATTTTGGCCTCCGAACAGTCCAGATTTGAATCCGTTGGACTATTACGTGTGGAGCGTCATTGAACGAGTGACCAACAAGTCGAGACATCCCAATGTGACATCTCTCCAAACCGCTATCGAAGCAGCATTCGCCAATATAGACAAGGACGCGTTGCAGAGAGCGTGCCAGCGCTTCAGGATGAGGATCGAAGCAGTCATCGAAGCAAAAGGGGGTTATATAGAGTAATTTTACTCTAAAAGGATACCACTAGTGATACACAAAAAGTTCTTTTGTAAGTTTTACATTTTGATGAGTAGAATTTTATTTAAACAAATTGTTCATTTTGTCCGGATTTTGGTGGCGGACCCTGTATATCTTGTATTCAATTTTATTTTTTATACATTTTCGTTGTATTTGTTGATGATAGGAGTAAGAACATTAAAAAGTTATAAATTGCCCGTGAAACTCAAAGTAAGTTAAAATGAAAAAAATATGACTTAAATATTTTTTGTAATTCTACATTTGTGCCAAATTAGAAAGAAATCGCAGTGCACCTTTTGAGTAGGTTTACTTGTCAATATAATGCTATTCAAAGATATAAAACAGCAGTTCTTTGGCCTACAATCGATCATTGTACAAAATTACGCAATGAATACTATTCTTTCTTTTATGCCACGTTTCTTAATAAACAACATTTATAACAGTAAGTTTTCTATTTGTATGATATCGTTTTTTACGAAAATCCACTGGAATAATGGTCGACTGTATTGCTTTTACCATAAAGTTACAAAACTGCGATATTCAATATTAAATTTCTCACAAATGGTGCAGACACGAAACTTAATTGAAACGGACGTGTTTCACTACGATAAACATTACGTGAATTTTTTGTATAATTTTAAGCGTTTTGATTTTAATGGATAAACTCCTTAAATATACCGAGACATGAGTCACACAAAACCTCGGACACATTGGGTATTTCGATGTTAGAAAATGGAGTCAAGATCGCCCGACTAACGTATGCTCGCGTGTATATCTTTGTTGTCGCTACGTATCCACCCACGGAAATCCACAGTGACGTAGTGCGACGCGATAACGTCGTTTCCGGTTGCGGGAACGCGAAACAAAACACTCAGCTATGAGAAGAAAATGATTATTCCTTCGTCGCGTTATATTCACCGGATACACACTGCAAATCCGAATGTTATTTTTAAACGCATAAGCGTGCAATTTGGCTGAAACTCTTTTTATATTTTTTTGCATTCTTTTAACATTATTTTCCTTGCGATTTTAAATCACGTCATTTAACACTTTTACACGTCTTTCTAAGAAAGACGTGTAAAAAGAGATTCAATAACATACTTGAATTTACAGCATGTATATTATATCTGGCCAGTGTATTAAAGGGATGCTGGAGTCGAAAACTTTACTGACAGAGTACAGACTTTTTTCTACGAAGTTTACGTTGTATTGGCTGTACCAAATTACAAGTGTTCTTACGCAATAAAAATACGTGCGAGAATGATTTGGAATATTGCTCGATATATGGCAAAAATACGATACGAAATTTCAAAATTGATTGATTTCGATTGTAAATTAATGTTAGTCAATTAAAGTAAATATTCACTTGAAAGATTTCTTCTTTCAATGTAATTAATTTTATTATCGATAGAAATGCTTTGTGATTTCATGCATAACGATTGATTAACTTGGATTATTGATTTGCCGATATTTTAGTTAAAAAACGTTTTAATCGATCGATACCTATACTGTAAAAACTGATATGTTAAATTTAACACATTTCATGTGTCCCAAATCATCCACTTTCATTTATGTGTAAATTTAATACAAAACAAATGTGTTAAAAAGTTAAACACGCATAATATGGAAAAATTAACACAAGAATTTAACACTTGAATACCGTTAGGAATCATAGATTGTGTTAAATTGACATATTTAATATCAGACATAGATTTGACATATTTAATGTCAGACATAGATTATATCAATTTAACATTTTCACTTCATCAAAACCATAGATTAATACTTCTCTCAAGTATTAAAGTAACGTTTTATTTTAGTTAATTTAACATTATACATATGTCAATTTAACACAACTGTGATTCCTGACGGTATTTAAGTGTTAAATTCTCTAATTTTTTATATATTATACGTGTTACTTTTTACTACATTTGTTTTGTGTTAAATTTACACATAAATGAGAGTGGATGATTTGGGACACATGAAATGTTAAATTTAAGGCTCTACTATCTCGCTGCAGAAAGTCTGAATTGACGATGATCTAGCAGTGTCGAGAACACGAAATAACCGTGTCAGCGTAACTGATTGGCTAACACTAGGCTAGGCTCACGCTAGACCTCGCTTGACACCTCGGAAAATTAGTTGCGTTTTATCGCGTTATTTTGCAGTTTCTCCGTGAAGTGTGTATATTATCGTGATCCTCACAGCTGTAAAATGTGCAGTAAACTTAGTGATACTGGTGATATATCGTAAAAATCGAGAAATTAAATGTGTTCATACATGCTGATTTCAGCTGTCACAAACTCTCGTGACAGCCGAAAAATGTAGCATTATTTCAGGAATTATTTTACGATGCTACGTGATATATCAGCCAGATATCTGAGTTTGCTGTATTTTTTACAGGTTTCAGGATTAGGAAAATATTTTGTTCTTCAGGGAAAAGTAAAAAAATAAAGCAATAAAACGCAACTAATTATCATTTCTCGCTTCTGACGTCATCAAACCAATATGACCGCCCTAGAAATAGCAGAGCCTTAACACATCAGTTTTTACACAGAGTAATGCACCTGACCCGGTCGTGACCCTCGAAAGGACGACGACGTGATTAACGTCGAACGAACCAACATCGGGGCCGTATTTGAATTTCGCAACAGCATTTTCTTCACGCAATATTAACATCAGTTTGAGCACAGTGAGATAATGCACGTATGCCACATGAATATATATATATATATATATATATATATATATATATATATATATATATATATATATATATATATAAACAACTGTTATTCAACGCGTTACGCAAGCGCGTTGGATAACGATGACCAAAAATTCGGCATAATCAAAAAAAAAGAAAGAAAAATGGAAATTAAATAATCACGTCGCGGTAGTAATTCCGTCGCGTTACGTTGAGTCGCTCTCCCTCGTCTCGCTGTCGAAATATCTCGACGAGTTCGTAAACGTGGCCAGGCGTTAAGTGTTACCGCCGGTATAGTTTCACTTTTCCTTTTACGACGCGCCATTATTACGTCGCTTTCCACTCGTAAGTAGACGTGGGTGGAATTTCCACTTTTCCGCAATCGAGCTCGCCGTTCACGATTATGAGCTGCCGGTTCGTTTCCATTCCATTCCGTGCGTGGAATCGATAGAGGATCGCGCGATTACTGGTAAAAAATCTTCTCGATAATACGCGGTCGTTAATTCTCGCACGGCGCCGTTATGAATATTGATGTCCACGAGAGCGCGATTAATCGCGTTTGATCGAGCGGCCAATCGCGCCGGGCTGCCATTAGCGGCTCGGAACACGCTTATTTAGATAAAACGGAAAGCCTGAATCGTTCATTTACCTTGCGCTCGGTGAATTTCACGGGCTCGCAGTCGGACTCGACGTAGAAAATGGAACTGGTCTCTCGTCGGAACCACATAATTCTCGTTACACCAGACAATTCATCGACGCGTTGAATCACGAACCGCGCTTTTGCATTATCGCGGGAAAAAGAAAAAAAGCGCGTCACTTGGCGCGAATATTCGTTCTGAGGATCTCCGCGTCACATCATCGATTGCTTTCGACTCGCGGGATTCTTTTCACCCTCGCTTTTCGCTCATTTCCACTTCCCCGATGGTTTCTCATCTCGGAATGAAATTACTTCTTCTACCGCGACTTCCGCATTTTCACACGCAGTCACGAGCGAAACCTCCCCATTAGCAATTCGACTCTACAGTGAGAGAAAAGTATGCTCGATCCAGCTAAGCTTACAGTTGTTTATGGCCTCAACTATTTCTTGTAGCAAAACGATAGTAATAACGCGCATATAAAGTTATCATTATTAATATTATAGTAGTATATAGCAATATTATCACTGATATTGTATGGATGTGTGTGTCATCACTAATTTATAATATAATTTAATAAAGAAAACTTGTTTTCTCGACCACAACTAACTATTTTTCTGTACGATTAGATAATATTTTTTCTCAGTGTAATTAAAATCTCCGGTCCAATTCTAATCTTTATGATAATTTAAGAGAAGCGGACGAGCGAAACAGATCTCCCGGAAAGCCCGGACGATGCGACGTGTTATCCTCGCGGTAGTCCCGTGAAAACTGGAAAGCGAGACACAATGATTGTGCACCTTCTCCCGTTTGAGTACGCAACGCGTGTGTCCTCCCTACTCTATTACGAATAGTCTCTCTCCCTCCCCTTCACCTCGCCGTCGTCTCGATGCTCCCCTATAGCCGGTTGATTATCTCAACCCGCATTAATTCTACACGCGTCGAAAGTGGCCACCGAAAGTATACGTAACGAGTGAACGTAACCGCCCGCGACGAAACATCCGAATTACGATCGTTCGGCGGCGTGCGCGACATTCAGAATGGGCAATCTTCGAGGCCATCTCTCTTGCCCCTAAAGACACAAATTTGCAGTTGCCTCCTCTGTAAAATTGACAAGTCCTTCGGCGAAGCGAGTTTCGTTTCGCGAGGCGACAGCCGAGATGGAACTACTAACCACGCCGGAACCTCATCTCATCCCGGGGTGAGAAGTTAATTTTCGCAGAACAATTACAGAGACGGCCGAATTGACGCGATCTCCCGAGAATGTATCTCTCGCTGACACAGAGACCGGCTGCTCCTTTCAGGTACGCCGGTTATTGCCCGCAATATCGATTCAGATGCGGCGAAACGTTCGCGAAGACTACGCACAAACTGCTGCTCGATCCTGCAGTTAACCATGCGGATATGCTCATCCTGTCGAGCCGTGCGGTCGGCGAGGTGGACAATTCGTAACGCTATTATGCCACGCGATATGCCACACACGTGTAAAATATGTCTGGGCGGATTCGCCGTTTACACTGAGAAAAAAAAGTGCGACGAGTCTTCGCACATTTGTTCGTTGCTCGAATTATTAATTGAACTAGGCAATTGCTGTTTTGCAAAATTACCTTATTTTATTTGCAACTACCACCATTACATATTAATATTGATTAATGATTACATATTAATATTGTATGTAATATTAATTAGTAAGGAATATTGCATATAGTCGAGATATAATCGGAGAATTATTAGTTCAATTACATAATTCCTGCGACGGGTTATTAATTCAGTCACGATTGAAAAAAGAGATATCTGGAAAATAAAAAAAATATTGATTTGATGGATACTAACAATTTACTTAAATCTGAATTTTTTGCTTAAATAAAACAAACAAATAAAAAAACAAATTGCTTTTGTGACAAACAACGCTTGCTATGCGTGTATGTCTAGGAAAATATATATTCTCAGTTGGCATTTCTTTTCAATGTAAAAATATGGATATCAGTACAACTCAATGTAAAAATATGGATATCAGTACAAGTAAATGTTGTTAGCGCTCGTTGAAATAAATATTTTGTATTTTTTAGATATTTTTTTCTCTCCTAATATATGTATTGTTGCGTAATTTATTAGGACGAGACCGTAATTTATTAGGACCGTTGATTTTGTCAATCTAATCGCCATTTTTTCCTCAGTGTAATTTCCCACGTTCAGTATAAAATTTAATGCGTTAAAATAAAATGTATCTTATCTCCAAACCAACGAAAGTTTCCAGATAGGTTTAATCATCCTGCCGTGATAGGCAAGTTTTTTCATGCAAAAGTAAACAAATCGGGCGAGGCGAGTCATTATGCTCGGCACGCCAATGACGTACCAATATATAGACAGAGTGTTGGCCATATAATGTTAACGATTGTACGAATGTTACAGAGTTGTAAAAATATCAATTAAATTCGACTCAACTTAATAATTGATTTGAGTAAATAATTTAATTAATTTAATAATTTAATTAATTAATTTAAAAATTATTTAATTAATTTAATAATTTAATTAATTGACGATTAATATAAGCCTATTCAATTAAAAATATTTTAATTAACCATTGACTTCAAGAAATCTAATTAAAAATGATTTAATTAACGATTGATTTGAAGGAATTCAATTAAAAACTGTTAAATTAACGATTAAAACGAGCAAAAGTAATTAAAGATTATTCGATTAACGATTGAGCATAGTCAATGTAATTCTACGTAAAGAAGCAAACAACTTTTGTTGGAAAACATTTTTTATCCGATCTTTATTTTCTAAGATATTTACGGAAATATCTACAAAATTATTGGTTTCAATATTTTTTTATTCAAATTCTATTAACTTTACCGAAAAATAGCAAGAAATAAAAATTGTCTATTTTCTTCTCATAGAGCTCTGAGATTTTTTTCAGATTTTTTTTATTAACTTTTTACTTCAAGAAAATGCAAAGAAATGCAGTACTAAAAAGTTAATCAAAATTCTGAAAAAAATTTCAGAGCTCTATGAGAAGAAAATAGACAATTTTTATCTCTTGCTATTTTTCGGTAAAATTAATAGAATTCGAGTAAAAAATTATTGAAACCAATAATTTTGTAGATATTTCCGTAAATATCTCTAGAAAATAAAGATCGGATAAAAAATGTTTTCCAACAAAAGTTGTTTGCTTCTTTACGTAGAATAAAATTCCGTAATAAAAAATGTATATTTCTATTTAAAAAAGCAAAGTTAATCTCGACCTGACCTTGGCGGGGCCAAGGTCAAACCAATAGTACCTTCTTATGTCTCCCGTTGATCCATATAACTTTTGTCTGAAACTTCTTGTCTGCCAATTTTAATTTTCGAGATATTGGGTAAAATCATTTAAAATGGGACACCCTATATATATATAAGCATATATTCAGCTCGACTGGTTACCATGAGCAATGTAAATAATTACGGTTAATTTCGATTGACATCGATTGGTCAATCGTCTTACTGCACTTTTCGATTAAATTTGCTTATATCAATTGTCAATTAAATAATCCTTAATTACATTTACTAAATTCAATCGTTAATCAAATAATCTTTAATTACTTTCGCTCGTTTTAATTGTTAATTCAACAATTTTTAATTAAATTCCTTCAAATTAATTGTTAATTGAATTATTTTTAATTAGATTTCTTGAAATCAGTGGTTAATTAAAATATTTTTAATTGAATAGGGTTATATTAATCATTAATTAAATTCGATAATTAATAAAAAAAGTAATTAATTACTCGCAATTCTGGAATGTTATAGGTGATAAGACCACTACAACGTGATATACACGTGGTCAACGCACGTGCCAAGAAAATTGTTTCTCTCTTTGTTCACCCAATGTTACCAGGATACGAGGGTACTTTCGATACGAATTCTCGAGACGCGCAACATAAAGTTCACGTCGCGATGTAGAACAAACCTCGTCGAACAAACCAAGGATTTATTAAATGATCGGCGCAGGCTTCATACCGAGATTGGATACCAGATGCGGACAGAGATTCGCGGTGCATGCGACTGAGCAGGTCGCCGAGTTTGAACGACAACAGTCACGATACAAGGAGACTCGGGATCTGTTAAGAAGAAGGATAGACGCACAACGATGCGGACAAGGCAAGCAGCGGGATTTAAAGGACCATTTGGTTAGAGAGAAGAGAAGAGATTATCGGAATCACACACAGGCGGTTCCGCTATTAATATCATTACTCTTAATTAACGTCATAGATAGAGGAGATTCACTGATCTGTATTAATATTTGCCTTTCCTTTTTATCGTAGTCATCGAAAGACTTATTTAGAGCACCTTTACTTACCGTGCGACCGGAATGTGTGGGAGCGATGGTGAATTCGTCGTCTGACGTACGAGTGGCACTAAAAGACACTGGAAGATCACGCGTTTCCGCCTTGTATATAAATTGCATAGAAGACTATTTTGACAAAAGTTTCTCTGGTTAAAGTAAATACAAAATATTAACGAACGATGGCGATATGAATAAATAAAAACTACTTAAAAACAGTTAATGTTGTTCCCACATGTAAGAATGCTTAAATAATTTCTTGGACGAATAATTTGAATCTGAACGAACAATCTGAACGAATAGAACTTACATATAAATTTATACGAATTCTGAACATTCAGTGACGCATTTATTGACAGATCATGAGGAAACTTTCTTGTAATCGATTTCTACAAGAACAGTTAAAACGAGACTCTACATTTGCGTCATTACGATAAGTGAAAGAAAAGATTTTATTTCTTCTTTAATTTCTTTGTGACGATATATTAAATAATTGTGATGATATTATTGATAATTTGGTAAAAAAATGTTAAAGAATTGTTAGTTTTTTTAATAACCAAAAAATATATTTTTGTTAACGATAATACCAGTATCGATACCAGTATCGATACCAGTATCGATAAAATGCCCTAATATGGCTATTAGATTGATCAATAAATTATTCTGCACATTTTTACCAAATTATTAATAATGTCATTACAATTATCTAATATATTCGTTACAAAAAAATTAAAGAAGAAATAAAATATTTTCTTTCATTTATCGTAATGATGCAAATGTAGAGTCTCGTTTCAACTGTTCTTGTAGAAATCGATTACAAGGAAGTTTCCTCGTGACCTGTCAATGAATGCGTCACTGAATGTTCAGAACTCGTATAAATTTATGTGTAAGTTCTATTTCTGCGATTTCTAAGAATACTATTTTTGCGAGATCGTCAGCAATCGAATGAAATGCAACTTTCGAACGGGGAAAATTACACGTGGCAGTCCTTCATTCGCGAAAATGCGAGAAGTAAGCGACTGAATTCGCATTTAATTCAAGATAAAAACTTAACCGTACTTCTATTACATAATTTAAAGAATATCTTAAAATACTCGAATACTCGTTACAATATGTGATCGACTGTTCTTCGCGAAGGATACGCGAAACACATTTCTCAAGGTAACGCGCGTTTCGATACGCCGCCATTGGGTAGTGCACTACGCGATTGCACGGCGATTTATCGAGAAGAAGTGACTATCTCTGGTCCTGATCCTCCGATACTTGTCCAGCCCAGTGAGATCTACCACAAACACGTGGGCCTGATACCGAATTATCTAGGCCATGTTCCTGGCGCGGCATTCAGGCAAGTCACGAACAATTATGAGTAATTGTACGATATAAATAAGGATCATGGAATAAAAGAATCTAAGGATCCAAGAGCACAGCAACTTGGAGACTCGAGGATTCGAAAAATTGAAAGGATTCTGAGGAGATAACGATCGAAAGCTTCGAAAGACGAGGAAATAGAGGACTCGGAGAGATCGAAGAATTCCAGGATCTAAATCAAAACATCAACTACAATCATTTTTTCAAATGTTTACTTTGCAGATACGGCAAAACCTTCGAAGCTGACACAAGAGACGCCAAGAGATGGCTCCGAATACAAAACTCTGTCTAATCTGGCTTCACAGTTAACGTTATTTATTATAAACAATGATAGACAGAATCATTATCACAACTATGAATCACAGAATCAACAGACGTAAAAACATCGTAGAAAAATTCCTGATGTTTATACGCGCAAATGGAAATATATTTAGATAAAAATTCTAAGAATGCATATAAACAAACTTGTTGAAATACAAATGTGTGTAAAAATCGTATAAAGTTTCACACCTTCTTAATGGTATTATATAATTTTGCCGTGTCAGAGACATAATATATAAAGAGCTGACTGATTTAATTAATAGGAAGATCAGCTGAATGTAAATCGTTAAAGAATATACATTGTACATATATACATTGTGCGTATATATATATATATAGTATAAATTATTGCGATGCCCATTTCTTCAAGATATCGTCAGCGGCCTTTAAGTTTTCATCTTTCTATGAAAACGCAACGACCAGTGTTTAATAAACGCTGTATGTTATCTTGATTGACGAGTTGTGTCACTTACCTTGATAAAGCAGTACCGTACGTAGTCCTCGCCTAGATGTCCGTGATCGGGGCCGTAAAACACAGAGGGTGGAATACCGAGGAGGCCGACGTTCTTAAGCATCCACTTGGTAAATCTGTAGTCCTTGTGCTCGTCTGTCTCCTCGTTTAGATTCGTCTTATTCTCCAACAATGTCCAATTGCTGAGCATGAAGTATCCGCCCTCGGGTATCGTCGGCACCATACCGACTTCCGATAGGAATTTCGCCATGTAATCTCGCTTCGGCAACAGTTCTTCCGCCAGACTGTGGAAGTAGCACTCTGGCTGGCCTAAACGTTCAAACTCTTGCTCGAAACCAATGGCCACAGCTTCCTGTAATTAAGGTATTTAAAAGTATATTACGTATTTATTGTCCACATTCTGGGAACTTTAGGAATTCCATGTTAAGTAGATTACCTGAATCGGAGTGGTACAAGTGTACACAGTGTTCTGATGCATCACTTTCAGATTATACATTAAATTTGCTGGTCCATATGCCCAGCCTATTTTCCAGCCTGTTACGCTGAATGTCTTACCAGCTGATCCAATTGTTATTGTACGTTTAAACATATCCGGCAACGTCGCTAATTAAGCAAAGTAGAAACAGTTTAACAGATACAATCTTATGTTACACTGTTTTGTGTTATGTTAACTTCGTATCGTGATTCTTACCTATTCTTATATGACGATATGGCTTGTAGACGATCCACTCGTAAACTTCGTCTGATACCACGAGAGTGTTCCACTTCTTCGCGAGATCAGCAATAAATTGTAACTCGTCTAACGTGAATACTTTTCCTACCGGATTGTGGGGTGTATTGATAATGATACCTTTGGTTTTTTCATTGAAAAGGCTTTCCATTTCCTTTCTATCAAATACCCAGTCACCAGAACTGATTATGCCCGTTGTGGAGTTCTGCATGAGAAAATGAAAATGATATTAGATTATATTTCAAGTGTAAAAAGGTTTTCTGTGAATTAATTATTAACAATCTTTACCGGTTTTAGTGCAATGTATCTAGGAATTCCACCAGCTGCATTTATCATAGGCACATAACAATCAAAGAAAGGTTCAATAACAATCCATTCATCTCCAGGATTTGTATGTCCATTGATGGTGACAAACAATGCTTCGTAAGCACCAGAAGTAACTAATACTTCCTCATTAGGATCTAAGGTACGGTTAGTGACTTTGGAATACAGTTTAGCAATTGCATTCACTAATCTTGGATGACCCTGTAAAAATTATGCATATATTAGCAAAGTCTATGTGACATGAAAATAGATACTTTCTAATGAAGTTACTGATAATATTCTTAATGTTGATTGAGGTTCTTAGATGTTAAATCAATGTACTAAAAGACAGGCCAATAAGAACCTAAGCCAATAAGTCTACACTTTTTAAAATAGCACTATCCCATCTGTGCTTATTGACCCATCTTTTAGTATGTTGATTTACTGATAATACATATTGTACTGTTACAATACTACAATACTATGTGTTGTGAGGTGTTTCGTAAACATATTTTGAAATTAATAAATAAAGTCTTACAAATCCTTTAGTATATTGCTGTAAAAGTGGGTTGTCACTATTTGCAGTAGCAGCTAAGGCATCAGTTATATTTTTGGGTGCATGATAATCAGGAAATCCCTGACCTAAATTTAATGGTTTGTACTGTTGAGCGAGTTGATTGTATTCGATCCTAACCAAACAAATATAAATATGTAGTAATAAGTCTTTATATACATATATTTATACATGAATATTTCCACTTACCAGACAGATTTTTCATTGCCCTTCAAACGAGCAGGAAGATCAAACTTTGACATCTCAGCAATACTTCTGATGTTCCTCACTGTATTAAATGATGGAATCTTATTTGCCCTCGCCAGGAAATAGGCTCTTGTTAACATCTACATATGTACATATATGAACAGATATTGATACATATAAAAAAGTATAAATACATATCGATCAATATAAATACATTAATATAGATACGTGTATAAATCAATCAATTGGTTATACATTTCATCAAGATTTTAATTGTAAGAATTTTTACTGCGACGAAGTTAAGAAATGGGAAATTATTTTCTGTTTCTGATTCATGGAAACTCTATTAGAACAAACACAATATCTTTTAAATGACATTACCTTCTCACTAGTTAACACTAGAATGCACTCATTTTCGCGGCACTATTGCTATTATTGAAAATATTGCGGAAAAAGTGCAGAGCAATCGCATGTCAATTGTAACACGACTTATGGTCTGTTCTTTTCAGCTGCACTGCTGAACTGGTGCAATAAGTTAAAGTGAGACAAGTATATGTTTTCTCATTCTAACTTATTGCACCAGTTTAGCACTGCAGCTGAAAAGAACAGACCATTATATAACCTGTATAACGTAATGGGGAAAATTAATTCTCATGAAAACAAACTGACCATTCCTACGTCATCTCACTAGATTGCATGTCTTCTTTGCTGCCACGACTATTTCAATACGATCTAATCTTTATGGAAAACATAGCACTTGTGTCAAGTGACATATGTTGGAAAAATTGATTAAAAACTGTTAATAATTCTGCGGAATACGTACTCAATTGCGACGACTCTCCGTGGTGATATAAAACAAGGTTAAAATTGGAGAAAATTAAAGGAAATATATGAACAAAAATCGACAGTTATAACAACGTGCTTTAATATTACATAAACGCAATTAGTGAGAGATGAGTTGTGCAACAAGTATCGATAAAACGGGCGTATAGGAAAAGCGGAAATTTGTAGGCACGTGAGATACGTCCATAGACTTTTACATATTACTAGACTACTAACTTGCCTAAAATTTACACACATGATATATGGATTGAAAGCATATAAATAAGTACCGGCCATATTATATATTTGCCACCTGCTCTTCTATACTATTTACGTCAAATACTTTCTTTTCATATATAAAATCATTTTTTGATATTGTAATATAAAGAGATTAACGGTCCAGTTATATATAAAAGACCTTGGATACAATCACGCTCACTATTGGTCGTTGGTTCGGAAATTCAAATTAATTCAAACGAAAGGCCCCAATCAAACCAAGTACATTATAAAGTACTGTATCGCTAGTGGCCAACTTCATATTCGTAGAAAATTTTACATATCTTCAAATTTAAAAAATTCAGAAACGTTATAATTTGACGGACTACATAAGTCGTTATCGAATTATAAATTTACACTCATATTTCTCAAATACAATATTTTATAATTTCTTTCAAAGAGCTAATTTTCGTCATTTGGTTTATAAATTAGTTTTATAGATATTTTTGTCGTGCAAAGATATAAGAATTTACTCACCGAAAGCACGAAGAAAACCGTGGCGCCTCTCATGGTGGATTGACACGTTCTGGATTAAAACTGAGCCGCGTAAAACAGAACAAAGAACGAGTTGCAAAGGCTAACTACTTTCACTTTTTAGTAGACCTTCTATTTGGAGTACGTTCCATTTAGTGTCGTGACATTCGCTCTCGTTATGCCGTGATAGTCTCGTTTCGTTTTAGGGCTTGCCTCTTATTCTGCACATACCTATCCATACAGCATAAAATCTCCTGGGGACGTCTCGCAGATGTCCTGAGGACGTAGAAACATCTCTAGGATGTTCTCAGGATGTACTCTGGACGTCTCCTGAATATTTATACTGTTAGGGTATCGATAATTGTCGGTTCGGTATTATGCTAATGACGTCCATACCCAGCAAACAAGATGATGTCAAATGATATCTTAATAATGTATTATTGTAATTAAGACGTCATTTGACGTCATCTTGTTTGCTGGGTAAATAGTAATAATTATCAAGCGACACATGTCGCGAGCAGCGCGTATCAGCACAGAAGGGATACGTACACATTTACGCGACTGTGTCTATAAGCCTCACGGGTACGGTCGCGTGAGTGTGTGCGTATTCCCTTCCGTGCTGATGTGTGGTGCTCGCAGAGCAAAGTTTCTGGCTGCGTTCGTTTTGGCGCTCTGAGCATCATTTCATCTTTGTTTCTATCGGTTGCTTTCCAACAAGAGACACAAGTCGACACAAGTATCATCCTATCTTTGTTACTCACTAAATGTGAAACAAAGATAGAATGATGTTTGTGTCGACTTGTGTCTCTTGTTGGAAAGCAACCTAAAATACTAAATAAGGACAAATGATATTTACACGCGCTATAAGCGCCAAAACGAACGCAACCTCTATCACTGGTCGCGAGCTAAGTGTATGCGCGAAGCTCGAACGTGTATAATATTAACGCGAATATCAAGCGATATTTAAGTCTTCGCGTTAATGTGCACAATCGAACTTCGCGCGTGTACTTGGCTCGCAACACGTATCACTTGATATTCGCGTTAATATACACGTTCGAGTTTCGCGCGTGCGCTCGGCGACATGTGTCGCTTGATTATCGTTTATCGTTATTATTTATGGATAGGTGGACGCCATTAGCATACCGAACAGAAGATTGTCGAACGCGAAGACTTAAGTTGAACGTAGTCAAAATTGCTCGTTTGACGATAAGGTTCTGGATGGGCTTAATCGAATCCTTGGGTTCACATTACTCAATAAAACTGTCTTTACTTTTGCGCTACGTGTTCTAGAAGTTAAGTTATTTTAGCTCAAAGTTCCGAAAAAATTTTTTTGTACTAAAATATTTTTTGTAAATATTTTTTGTACTTCTACATTTGTGCCAAATTAGAAAGAAATCGGACGTAAGTTTTGAGTAGGTTTACTTGTGAGCATAAAGATTCATAAAGTCATAGCCGTTTCCGACAATTTCTGTATTCAGATACTTAAGCAGATGAGATAAGCGAATGATACGATTTATAAATGTTATTTGTTGTAATTCTTCATGATTTCATGTAATTTTATTACTACGATATTATATCTCGCCATACTTCTTACTTTAGCAATAATGAAATGCATGAAGTATCCCATACAGTACAAATCTTCAAAGGATGTTCTAAAGACGTTCTAAGAACATTCTTACATTCTAAGAACGTCTCAGAACATTCTCTAAAGATTTTGTGTTATCTGGGATATGATGAATTTACTTTTTCATAATGAATGTTTAAATTATCTAAAAATACTCATTGCACTCCTCGTTGAAATGTGCATGTACATTAAGTTAACCTAGCCTGCATAAGAAGCGATTTCGGCAAGTGGTTGCGAGAACGCCAAGTGGATCGCATTCTCATTGGCGAACAACGAGTCGATTCCCAACGCTTCTACAACTGCACCAGTTACACTTTCTGCACTTGAATTATATGTAAACATATTTAAAGAAAAGGAGGGAAAATCTAGAAATGATTAATATATATGTGATGTGCCTAATAAAAAAAATTTCAAGTAAATTATGTAATTTAGCAAGTGCAATTAGCAAGAGATAAATAATATAAATATCTTGTAAATTTGATGGCGCCACTTCTGTTTTATAGGTTGTTTGTCATATGTTGTTTGCTGACTGACGGGTGAAAGCTTTTGATACAAAGTGGATAATTAGCATTGGTGTCTTTAATAGCACAAAAATAACATACAATAATAATAGAAAATGACACAGTGTACAGAATTAATTGAAGACTTCGATAGTAGTTTCGCAAAAATGGCAGCAAACATTATGAAATATTATGGTAAGATTTTGAGGTTAGAAATACGCATGTGATTCGTGCACTCTTTCTATCAATGTCGATCAAACCTTGAGTTCAAGTCTTTATCTAAATAAAGTTTAAATTTAAATTAAGATTTAATCAATTAATTTTAGTAGAAATGGATATCACTGTATTTTGTACATTTTTATATGCTTCTACTTTATATGCATTCTGTTTTAAAATTGCAAAAAGTGTAACTGGAATTCTTTGAGATACATCCATAAGAAAATGAAAATTACATGTAATAATGTATTTATATTGTTCATATGTTCAGTCGATGAGAAAGAAAAAGAAAAAATGTTGAAAGAGTTGAGGGATGCTATGATACAGAATTGTCTTATGACAGAAAAAATAAAAGCTGCGAATGAGATTAAAGATCAACTGCCATGTACGGATGAGGTAGAAAGCAGCCAAAATGTAGGAAAGATTAGAGATGTGAGCAATCTTATTTTAAAGTAATTTGAAGCCCTACTAATTAGAAGTACCAAGGAATTTTTCTGGTTACTTACATCACTATCCTATATTACGTTTACATTGGTCACTTGTTTGAACTCTGGATTGATTTTATAATTATGAAGCTCATAAAAGTTTTTAACTTATTTCTCAACCAGCAATTTTAATTTTAATTATTTCTGATATTCACAGTATTTGTTATTATTTGTAACAGAAATATAAAACAGCAATGTCCAAAATCGAAGTCAACCCATTGGAAGACCAAAGGCTATTGGCATATGACCGCCAAGTGGAAGATTTATTGCGAGGTAATTTCTACTAATGGATACAAAAACTTGCTCAATGGTTATTTCGATTCTTCTTTTAAGCATATTATAAATATTTCAGTAAACCAGAGCACACAGAACAATGAGTTGGATGACTCAAACATGGATTTGCGACTCACAGGCACTGACATTAATGTCATTGATCCGATTTCGAAGATGAGAATGACTGATCCTGTGAGAAATACAGTCTGTGGTCACGTATATGACAAGGAAAGCCTCACCGCAGTGTTACAGATGAACAAAAAGACTAGGTACGTTTTTTATAAAACGTTAGATATTGCGATGCATACGGCTGGCTTATAATCGCGTGTTTTGTTTTCAGGTGTCCTGTGGTGGGTTGCGGCAATACAGAATACATAGTGCTGAGTCAATGTCGTCCCGATGTCGTGACCAAAACATATTTAGAGAAAAATCCCGCTTAAACTAAAAAAACAACGCGTTCCTAAGTTTACATTAGATAGTCCAGTGTACCTCTCTACTGTATATTAACAAGTGTGTGCGTGTATATATATATATATATATATATATATATATATATATATATATATATGTATATATACGTATATGTGTATATATATATATGTATATGTATACTTTTCCATATGTTTTGTATTGAATAAAAAATAATTTTCTTTTGTATTGTAACAACGAGAGAGATAGTTTTAATGAAACAATCATCAATAGAAAATCACTTGTAAACTCTTTATATTTAAAGTTTGACCTCGTGTATTTTTTATCAGTATATTTTGATATGATGTGCTATATTTTTGTATTATTTATACGTGCTACTACAAATAGTCACGTTACATAATATCTATTTTGATATGCGTGTTTTAGGCCTGTATTAATAGTCGTTACTTGAAGCTTGCCCCAAGTGAGATATTCAGATTTAGTTAGATGTGAGTTTTTCAGGGGAATCGCGATATAATGTCATGAAATATAATGTCATATATATCATGTGATTCTGAAAAATTCAGACCTGTTTATCTCACATGAGACAAGTTTCAAATAGTTATTAATACAAGCTTTAATACTAGATTACTATAATTCTAGACAAAATCATAAAACTCATAACTTGTTTTCGTAAGACTCGTAAGAACTTATGAGTAGATCTGTAATTCTATGCGGACTGTATGTCATATGATAACTCGTTCGTATCTACGATTTTTCTTTTTTATTTGTAAGCTACGATTTTATGATTTACTCGTATATTTGCTTAAAATTGCAGCATTATATACATCACAAAACATTAACAGTTATTGCACTTGAAACTTATGTGAGATTTTTTGCTCAGTTTTTTACTCGACATTAAATAGAAATTTTTCTATTGAATTATATGTGATATTTATATCTGTGATTGTACGATTCAACTGAAATATTCTCATCTAACTGTAAATTTAAATCTGAGTGTCTCACTTGAAGCAAGTATCAAATAATACCTATTGATACGGGCCAAAGTGACTTCAAGTAACATCGCGGTTACGTTCGATTGCGCGTGTTTGATCTAATCGCGTTTGTATTCAAATCGCATCGTTACCGATCGATAATGACACAGCTCAGGCTATGTTTATGTTTGCGTTTCTGTCGACGTTTTTGGTTCTGTCGCGTATTCGTACTGTCGGTGATGGACCCGATCGAGATTCTTCCGGAATGCACGACTCGAATATAATTATCCGAAATATTCTTAGGCATCCTTTAAACGTAGAATCCGCGTTTTACGTAAATTCTCTGCAATTGTCGCGACGTCTCCTCGAATACCCACGTTGGATCAAGCAGGCGTATCGCAGTACTGACTACAACGTTGTTCAGAAACGCCATCGGGCACGGAACAAACCAGACGACGGCAGATCCTACCGTTCTGCTTTAAAGGACGATGAGGATGAAGACGAAGACGAGGACGAAGAGAACGAGAATGAGGACGACGAGGAAGACAAGATCAGCGACGAGACCATCGGTGAAGCTGCTGACGAGACCGAACAAGCTAACGCGGACGAAGAGGACGAAGAAACGGTGAACGAAGAACCCAGCGAAATCTACGATTACGGTTAGTACCGCAGGACGAAACTCTTATCTGGTTTTCTAGGTCGAAGACGCCGGCAGGACTTGCATAACCAGATCCGGTTACGTGCCACTCATGGGTAAGGTCGACGATCGCGACAGACAGGAAGTTGTGAGGATCAGATCGGCCAGCGAGGAGTGCGAGGACTCGTCCACAGAGGCTCTGCAATATTACGAATACGGTGAGAACACGAGAAGAAAGACGTTGCCTGCTTCTTTCCGTTAACTTTTTATTCTTTAAGTCTGCTCGTTTCCGCGGAAAACTTTCTGCATTGGTCGAGAAGTTGTTCGAACAGACCTTTTATTTCCGTCCTCTTTTCATAGATACAAACGAGATACGAGTTATTCGTAATGGAATGAACCTTCAACGACATGTATAAATCAAATGCGGATAATGAACATACCGTGCTTTATTCTTACGGATCTCTACGAACTGGCGTAATCGTGAACAAATTTTTCAGAGACCGAGGTGAGGGACGCTGTATCTCAAGGTGGTGGCGAATTTCGGAAAGCAACTGCTGCTAAAATGGTTGGCGGGAGTCTTCTGATTTTTCTGCTCACCTGAGAACCATAAGAGGGAAAGAGGTTTCATGAACAAGTGATGTAACGCGACAAGCAACAAAGTCATCGCGGCAACGCGACGGGATAGAAATAAACTTACTCTACGCGGAACACTATCTGTCAGACGACTTTTTTTCAATGCACTCACCTGAGACGAATGTGTGGCGAATAAACAAGTCCGACGTGCAGGACGGCCTCGGTGGTTTCGAAATTCGGCCCGGACGATTACGGGAATCCGGGTGAACGGCACGAGCGTGCGTAACGGACCTGGAATTAGTTTCTTTCTTCGAGACGGGTCACCGACACCGAACGCGAAGCGGATCGGCTCATGGCCGCGGGGTCAAGTTCTTCTCTGTACGCGCGTCTCAAAGCACCGGTCGCGAGGAATATCGCGTGGCACGCGATCGATCCGTTAGAATGCTCGCGAAGCTTTATCAGCAGCGAAACATCGGTCAATCAAGAAGGTGCTGTACAAAGGAGTCTCGAAAGTAACGAGGCGTTGATACGTTAACGATTCGTTCGATCAAGTGGCAAATGAGAGAGGGAATACACTGAGAGAAAATATATTTATGAAATAGTAAATATTTATTTTTAGTGGACATATACTGAAAGTATATTTACTCTCTCGTACTATAATACATGAAATATTTTTCAAACAAGAAATTATCTTGCATTTTCTTAAAACCTCAAGAAAATTTGAGCTTTTCATGAAAACAATTATTCGTTCTATTTAAGTAATTTAGATAAGTAAGCGTGTTATTTGCATCCCCCTCACACACACATTATCAGAGAAATATTTACTGTTATTTAAATATCTTTTCTCTCAACATGATAAAGTGCCATTGGATCTTATTACGACTAATTTCGCCGCGGCACAAAGACGACTGCTTGTCGGCGTTTTCGCGTGGGAATAAAACAAGTGTTTGAAGTCGCACCTTAATAACGCGCCGCCGATGAACGGAGCTCGCCTGCTCCGCGGGACATCGTCGCCGGGACATTGGAACGACCTGTACACACGGCGAGGCGACGAGGCAGAAAGGCTCATTTCCCAGGCGCGATCAAGCGTTCGAACGATCGATACTTCGAATCCGTTCGGCGCGAACTACAGGCCGACTTTACGAACAGGACCGGAGAATGAGCGCGCGCGCCCCGCGCCGCGCGATTGGCCGCGGCCGCTACCACGTGGCGGCGCTGCGCGGGTGGGGATTGGCCGGCGTGTGGCGCTCTGTGGGCGAAAGCGGCGCGCTTCGTTGTAGTATTTACCCCGCGGTGCTCAAAGTCGGAGCTCTGGATCACCCGGTGGCGACGTTCGCGCTCCGGCCGCGTCGAGTCGCAGCGGGACCGAGACCGAGCGCACGCTCGCGACGAATCACCGTGCTCGTAGGTGAGCCCGCTCGCGTTCCTCCTCCGTGTTTGTGTTCGCGTGCGAACGACCGCCGAGTAACCGCCGAGTGCGCGAATCGACAGTGAGTGCGCCATGTTCGCGCGTCGCCGCACGTCACCGGCTTGACGTTGCCCAGGAACGACGCGCGACGAAGCCGACAAGTGTGTCTCCCGTGTGTGACGCGACGTGCCGTCCGCGACGTACGCGTGTGCCGTCGTCGGTGTACGTGCGGAGAGAACACGTCGGCGGAGAGCTGCCCAGCTGCTGCTCCAGCATGCCGTAGGATCGTGGAATGCACGCTGACAGGTAGGTATCCACCGCGCCGCCGCACTCGGAATTTTCTCCAAGTGCGCGATGTTGCCTTCCTTCTATCTTCTGCCGCGTCTCTCTCTCTCCTTCCCTCTCTCTTTCCTTCTCTCTCTCTCCCGCGTGCCGTATGATTGCGACTGTTTTACTACACGAGCGTTCTCTGTCTCTCTCTCTTCTTCTCTCTCTCTCTCTTTCTCTCTTTCTCCCTTTTCGCGGTCTCTCCAGATAACAGCTGTCTCTCTCTACCTCTCTGTATTTCTCGTGTTTTATTTCTCTTCACGGTCATTTCGCCTCGCGTTGCCGTTCTTCCTCTGGTATCGCGAGATCGCCACGAGAAACGTGATGGAGCGGATAGAGTCAGCTCGCGATTTTTGGATTCTACGATTTCCTTGAGCTGTCATTGCTTCGAGTCACTTGGATTCTGTTTAAGTTATGGCCTTGTAGTATTTTAATTCTTGAATTTACGCCTTTGTTTTTCATGATTTCAACACTAAATCAATCGACCAATAACAGTCGAGAATTGTAAAGGGAATTATTATTTTTGAATATTTTACTGTGATTCGTTTATTTACTTTTCTACGAGTATTGGTTTGTCGGTGTGATTGGTCCTTGGACGTGAGGTTAACTTCAGATCTCTAGAATTTAAAACAGTTCGAGACAACATCTTTAGCGCGAAAATCTTTACATACACACGTACACACACATACACACAGAAAGATACTATATCTAGGGACTAAATATTTGTTTCATGTGCCTCATAAGTTAATATATTCATAAATCTCTATCATAAATTCATCTCATAAACATCAAATTTATTTAAAATATATTCTGAATTCTAGTAAATTTAGTATTTCAATTAGGAATATTCAATTAAGATAACAATTCGATTTGCTTACAATACAGAATTGAACTATGTCCCTAACAGCACAAATATCCAGGAGACGTCCAGAGTACGTCCTGAGAACGTCCTGGGACGTTTCTACGTCCTCAGGACATCTGTGGGACGTCCCCAGGAGATTTTGTACTGTATGGAATAATACCAGTTTTTCTTCGACAAATTTTTATAATATTCTTGTAAAGAGAATAAATTTTTCTTTTCAATTCATAATAATGAGCATTTTTGAATTTTTTTACTATATTTTAAGGTTATTATAAAACAAATATTCTTTGTCGAAGGTAACCATTACGTAAAACAAGATGAATCAAATGTGTAATTGCTTTTCTTAGCAGTAGAATCATATTTTTCTGTGTGCATATGTGAAGTGTTCTGCGTGTAACACAAAATCGCAACGATGATTCTGTTGCGAATTGTGACACGTCTGAAACGAGTTTCGAAGAATGTTTCTTCGTTAAATATTGCCGAATATCGAATTTTTGAAGCGTAGAATCTTTATGAATACTACAGAAATGTAACGTCAAATACTCGCTCTTTCCATCTGGTCTCTCTCTCTCTCTCTCTCTCTCTCTCTCTCTCTCTCTTTACCCGCAATAGAAAAAGACATTATGTAAAGTGAAAGTGTCCGCGCGTAGTCAGACGCACTGTAAATATGCGATGTGTAAGGAGAGTGCAACGCCGACCGCGAAGTGCAGTTTGCCGCTAGCGACTTGTCGCCAGGTACGAAACTAGGAGAGATCGATACGCGATCGATATTTATCGGTCCGTCGCACTTTCTAGCGTTGATATCGCGATAGTGTTGAGATCGTACTGTACCGATCTCGACTTAATCGTGCCGATAAAGTGGCCGTTATTTAGACGCGGAAATCGAGGTAAGAGATCCGTTAATCCTGCATGCCGATATATTTCGAAGATAAGTCCGTCGATTCCGACCTGTCCTATGTATTGATATATTCTCGCGACGGTCGTGAAAAATGACGCCGTGACGTACGAGTCGCGCGCAACGCGAAGTGAGTCATGCGATCACTGTGCTCTTTGCCGGTGAACGCGAATGGTTTTCCGGTTCTCTTCGCGCGCTATCGCAACACTTTCCATGCTTTTGAAATAATTGTCCAAGGACACATCGCGTCGAAGCGCGTCCCGTGAATGGCGCGATAGCGATTATCTCGATCGCGTTCTCGGCGCGCGATTGTTCGGACAAGGGATACATACAAAAGCGAAAAGCTCGATCGTCAGTTTCGTTCTCCTGCATCTCCGCACTTGAAGGTCTCGTCGTCACAGTTTCGAATATTACATAAAAGAAATATTATTCTATTACTAAAAAGAGCGACTCTTCTCAGTTGACTTTTCTTCTTTCGAGTATTGGTTATCCTCAACAAAGATTATTTTAATGTTATAACAGTCTTAAAATTATCGATCACAAATTTTAAATAAGCTTATTTTATCACGTACTCAAAAGAATACTCATTGATTCTCTTTACAAGAATATCATAAGACTTGATCGAAAGAAAAGTTGGTTTGTCTATGTAGCAAGCAAATCGAATTTTTTAACTTAATATTCTCGATTAAAACACCAAATTGTAGTTTGGATATAATATCCTCGATTGTGAAGTACTAAGATTTAGTATTAACTTACTAAGATTTAGTATTTGGACTAAATTTAATGCTTATGATGAATTTATATATATAGATAGTTTTGCGTGTATACAAATTTATGGGATACTCGAAACATTTACATGAATGCAGCGAGTGTATTTTTCTGTGTGTAATAGCGACGTGCTAATGTCAACGGAAATGATCTCTCATATCTACGTATCACGAGATCGGTATGATCTTTCGATTCTTAGTCAGCGGTTTCGCGACTGGCCCTTTATCATGTATTCTCCAGCTCTCTCGCGCTTCCTTACCTACTCGATTTATCCGTGAAGATCACCGAGAGCGTATCGTGCGCATCGACCTTAAGCCGTTCGGTCTGCCTGCCGAAAGAAATACGACGGTAATAAAATTTCCGCCGCTCGTGGATTCGCGCGTAGGGAAACTGACAGAGGGAGATGGAGAGAGGGGGAGGCAGAGAGAGAATGGGCGGCAGGGGAAGAGGCAGGGAAGAGAAGGGCGACGACCCGAGCCGATCTTTATCCAATTACACAAACGTAACTCTCCCACCTGCGTGCGCGAGAGAGAGAATTCCCTCTGACCGGTGTGTCATGTAAATCCACGGCTCGCGGCAATATTTAACACCCCGCCTGGAGTAAACGCGCTCGTTAAGGGCCTCGCGATCGCGATACAGGTCCCGTATCTCTCTCGCGTCTTCAACCAGGGAAGGAGAAGGCGGACTCGCCGGAGGAGTGCTCGGCCCTGCGGCCGATCTGCCTCCTCGTATCCCGATGTAAATCGCGAACGGATTCCACCGCGAATTCCTGCCCGTCCATACCGTGTTGCGGCCGGAGAATGCCAGCAGGGAAAGTTTGAGTCTCAGTCTCTTTCTCTCTCTCTCTCTCCCTCTCTTTGGGATCTCTCTCTGGGAGTTCAAAGAAGTCGAGGATGTAGCATATGAAAGAGATGCAGGAACGTCTTTCGAGTCTCTAACGACTTCTCTTGAATTCTGAGAACTCGAGAATAGAACACGGGACAATTTAAGGGCGCTTCTGGATGTAAGAGTCTCTTGTACCTTCTGGCATTTTCTATCTGGAGAGAATTAGTCGTTAACACGTCGACCACACCGCGCTTTTTCTGGTAAAGCGCTTTTCCACGAAAATGCGCTCCATACAGGTCGGGCAATCGTAGAATCAAAGAGCCACTTTATCGCGTTTATTCTCTCTTGTCCCTTCGAAGAAATGATCCTGAAATATCGCGAAATATTATTATACGCTGTCTCCCTTCCTTTTTTCCCCCGCTCTAATCGAGTTATGTTTATTACGTTGCAGCTGCCGCGAGTCCGTTCGACGGGGAGAAGAGCTCGGCAACGTCCGGATCTGGCCGACAAAATCGCGCCGAATCTGACATCGCATCAGCAGCAGCAGTAGCAGTGGTCCACTCTCTCTCTCTCTCTTTCTCTCTCTCTCTGTCTCGCCCGTCCCGGCCGGAAAGAAACGGCGTGGCTTCCGGTACGGCTCTCTCGATATGAGGGAGAGGCGGAAAGGGGGTTCACAGTTCGTCGGAGCGGCTAACGATCGTCGGTGCCGGTGCTGGTGGACGCGGAGAAGCGTCATCGCGATCGGTGGCGTGCTGCGATGAGCGGCAACGATTCGAGCGCGACGGCGACGCTGACAACGTCGGCGTCGGCGAACGTCGGCGCTGCCGATGACGAGGAGGAAGATCCGGCCTTGACCTCGGACTGCGAACTCGCCGACATGGATCTGGTGAACGGGCCGAATCCCTGGCTTCCGGCCTACGGTTTCCAGCTGCAGCATCACTCCCACTTCCAGCCAACGCATTTGGAGGATCTACGGGCTAATGGTTCGTACCTCATCCCTCTCTCTTTTCCGGTTACCCTTTTTATTTTTCGCACACGTGTGCTTTGGGAGGAGAGAGGGAATGTTGAACGTTCAAACGGTCACGTCTAACGTATCGACATGTACGACGTTCTCGTCGAGACGCTAGGCAGAAGCCGCAGGTGCTTAATGACACAGAAGAAACGGAGCGTTTGAAGAATTACGTGAGTGGAACGCGCGATTGCTCGCAGACAACTCGTCGATATTGATGCATTTCGGTGTAAATTACTTGTCTCATTACGTATGAACTAGTTTATTTGCAGGTGCAATTTTATTTCGGTGTAATCCTCACCATTTCACGCTTCGTGCGGTGGTCTTTTCCGCGTGATAACCCTGCAACTTGCCTTGGCAAGCAGTGTCTCGGGGGAGTCTTGAACGCGGAAAAAAGAAACACGTTTCGTTCTACCTTCTCTTTATCGTGTGTGAATTTCCGCTCCGACGGCGGGCGTAGAACAACAACAGCTCGAGAGTACTGTTAGATCGCTCTTCGACGCAAATCCGAGCGCGATCGCGACGATCTGGGTCGTCGTTCTGCTCACGTCATGCTAAACGATTAACCCCCTCGGCCCGAAACTACGTGCGTTTAGCTCGGGAATGAAAACGCTTCGCGGTATTTCCTGCTCGTCAGGAATTCTCGAGACTACCTGTGCAATAAGCTATAATGTGGCACATTATAGTTATTCATAGTAATTAAGTCCCATCTATTAATACATTGTCCGCCAAGTTAACTCATGTTTGCGGACGAATATACGCTTTACTAAATTATTACACACGCCTAATAACGCAATTGTCATTGAGCTCGGCGTGAGGAATAAGAGTAGGAGTAAAAAATAAAAATAGTTTATTTCGCTTACGTTTATACTTTAACTTCCTTACGCCGAAAGTCTTTCTGCCAAATAAATGCTTCCGGTGTAACGGAGTTAGAGTTTGAACGTATATATAAGTGAAATAAATTAGTTTTATTTCTTACTCTTGCTCCTAACCTCATATGCTAAGTTTTTCAATACAACGTCTAAAATAAGGACATAAGACATCTTATATTTTGAGACCGTCTGAGACATCTAAGAGACGTTTTTAAGATGTTTTCTGGACGTCTTATGTCCCAATTTTAAATGTTATGTTGTTTGAGTTACATCACGTATTGTAGACAAACCTTTAGTCGGAGTCATCATCGATATGCGGCTTGACGGCGAAATTACATTGCAACGTGCCGCAGGCGTTTACGGGAAACGCTGAGTACGTCTCGTTCGCTCATACTCGCGGTTTTTCTTACGTTTCTTCCGCCCACGTTCAGTAGAAAGCAACCTGCATTAAGGCCGGCCATTAACGGGCGATTTGTATGCAAAGCCGCCCCGTTTTCTACCCGCTGGAAATCGCGGTAATGATATCAGCCTCGCCGATATCTAGAGCGTAGACGAAGAGCCGGCGTTGACGAGGAGGAGCTCCGGGAGGCGGTTGGAAATGCGATTTCCCGTCTGATATAATACGCAATCAATGTCAACCAGTTCTCCCGGGCGGTTCGCTGTCGTCGCTTAAGATCATTGAAATCGCGATCGCGTGGAATTGCTCGAGAACGCCACGGAGATCGATAATAACAGCAACCACGATCTCAAGGACGAGATTCCGTGCGTTTCCTTCGCGTTTGCGTAGCTTGTGCTTCTCAAAGGCGTGCTGGCAGCCTTTTAATTTTTCCTATGTCTCGAGAGGAAATCTCCTTCTCACAAGAAGAGTATCTCGAAGAATTCTGAGCAGTACAGTCGCTCTGCGATTGGATCAGATGACAGTGGACGAGTTAGATCGGAACGCAGTGGCTAATCGATACGCGATGCGTGGGAAGAGCGACTGTTTGAGTTTCACGGCGCGTGAATTAACGTGGATCGATTAGCAAGCGACTACTAAGGAGCGCGCGCGCGGCAAGAAATGGAGAGTGAGATCAAATCGAGTCGGATCGGCCGGTCTGTGCGCGAGAAAAGTTATCCGCTCTGTTTCATTTCTATCATTCGCTCTGCGAGACCGGTCCGGGATAAAGAAAGCCTCGCGCCCAAGATAGAAATTGAAGCGCGCGCAACACTCTCGAAATTAGTACACCGTGAAATATTATTCGACGATCAAACACTCCGCCGCGCGGTGAGCGCCGTTCACTGTTTTGACGTAGGATTAATTTCAGGTTTGAACTGAGAAGGCGCGCTCTGATGCGCGATCGTTAGATCTAATTGAGGCGAGTGAGGCTCCAACGTAGTCGGAGATGCGTGAAGTTAGTCTTCGCCCAAGATACGGGTGTTTACATTATTGAACGTTGAGAGTGTGTCTCGACTTCGCTCTTGAACATCGACGTGATAACCAATCGATCGCAGTGTATTGGCGGTTTTCCCATTAATTTATTTTCAATTAATTTTCTCTTATCCGTTTTCTCTCAATTATCGGGCAATTAATCTTTAAGGGCCGATTTTTCCAACCTCTTCGTAAGTTAACTAATAATTAAATCATATGCCTGTCTTTGTTTTTTCCTTCAAATTAGACAAGGACAGGTATATGATTTAACTGTCAGTTACCAAGTAGTTTACCAAGAGATTGGAAAAATCGATTCCACGTCGAGATTAATCGTTCAGGTTCTCTCGATGATGAGAGAGAGCAGGGGAGAGAGAAGTCGAGGAACAACTTAAAAAATCCCACGGCAGAGATAAGAGGCTGAGGAGCGTCGTCGCCGTCTTCTTAGCTATCTCGTATGTGCTCGCGAGTACACCTTACTCCATACGGCTATCACCATATCCGCTGGAAGGCCTCGAAAGACGTTAGGCCGGTCGATTATTTTTATGTAAGTCGGCGGTTTATTCCCGTCCGTTAGTCACGGAACGGCAACAGGCAACTGCAACAGGTGGCCCCGCCATGATGTTGCATAGTGGTGCGTGCCTCCGCACTCGTGCAAGACAAATTGCGCTTCAGCGGCACGACCTGCTCGCACAACGTCGCCACGAGGTGTACGGTGTCTCGTGTTTAGAGAGAGAGAGAGAGAGAGAGAAAGAACGCGAGAAAGAGAGACGGAGAGAACGCGAGAAAGAGAGAGCGAGAGAGAAAGAGAGAGAGCGCTTCCATTTAATGAAGTATCGATAACGTCGCTTATCTGACTGGCACACTCGGCATTCACCGGGGAAGAAAGTGTGCGCGGTGTGTCTTTATCATCGGTGATAAACAACCGTTGGATATAGACTTAATTTCTTGACAATGCGCGATTCGACTCAATTCGTTCGTTACATCAATCGCGCGGACGATTTTGCGCACGGATGCGTGTTTTTCTTCAGAGCTGACTTTTCCGCCGATTACAAGGCGTGGCGGTGAGAATCAAGCGCATCCGCGCGTTCCATTGCGTCACTCGAACCGGCTCCGCAATTATTCGGATTAGCTGATCAGTTGATCGATGATTCAGAGCGCGTGAGCTCTGATCGTTCGTAGAGATGTGTCTTGGATTCACAGTGCGGCTCACAGCGATGAGTTTTTCTCTCACCGATTTCGAGCACATCGAGCTTCGATGGAGTCTAAGCATTGAGAGAAAAAAAAATGGTTGATTTAACTAAGGTTACAGTTATTTTCGGTCCGACTATATTTTTTGGTCCTAACACGAAAATAATTGTAATAACGTGCATATGAAGTTATTAACATAATAGTAGAATTCAATTAAAAATTTGTTTTCTTTATAATTTATCATAATGTCATCATAATTTGTAATATTATTATCATGATAATTATTACTCTATGTAATTATAGTTACAAATATTAAAAATTTTTTTCCCACTGCAGACCAAACTCACCAGTGACTTTTAGACCTGTATTAATAATCGTTACTTGAATTTCACGTGAGATATTTAGATCTGAATTAAGAGTTAGATCTAACAAATAAACCTACCCAAAAGATACACTCCGATTTTTTTTTAATTTGGCATAAATGTAGAAATACCAAAAATATTTAGGTCATGTTTTTTCATTTTGGCCCACTTTGAATTTCACGAGCAGTTTATAGCTTTTTAATGTTCTCACTTCTATCATCAACAAGTACAAGAAAAATGCATAAGAAATAAAATTAAATACAAGATATATATTTAAATAGTTTTAACAAAATCGGCATAGCTGAAACACGAACCATTCTAAATTTCTTTAGCCGAGATTCCAACCGAAATATTTTAAATCTGTGCTAAATTAATAAAAAATGGTTCGAATCTCGGCCAAACCGAGAGAAATCCGGTAATTTTAACTAAAATTTTAATAAAATTGACATAGCTGAAACACGAACCATTCTAAATTCCTTTAGCCGAGATTCCAACCGAAATATTTTAAATCTGTGCTAAATTAATAAAAAATGGTTCGAATCTCGGCCAAACCGAGAGAAATCCGGTAATTTTAACTAAAATTTTAATAAAATTGACATAGCTGAAACACGAACCATTCTAAATTCCTTTAGCCGAGATTCCAACCGAAATATTTTAAATCTGTGCTAAATTAATAAAAAATGGTTCGAATCTCGGCCAAACCGAGAGAAATCCGGTAATTTTAACTAAAATTTTAATAAAATTGACATAGCTGAAACACGAACCATTCTAAATTCCTTTAGCCGAGATTCCAACCGAAATATTTTAAATCTGTGCTAAATTAATAAAAAATGGTTCGAATCTCGGCCAAACCGAGAGAAATCCGGTAATTTTAACTAAAATTTTAATAAAATTGACATAGCTGAAACACGAACCATTCTAAATTCCTTTAGCCGAGATTCCAACCGAAATATTTTAAATCTGTACTAAATTAGTAAAAAATAATTCGAATCTCGGCCAAGACGAAAAATTATTTATATAAATAAGCAAGACGAAAAATTATTTATATAATAATTTTTTCAATTTTTATATGTTTTGTTTAAACATTTTATTATTTATACAAATAATTTTACACATTTGCCTTTATATTCATAATTAACAAACCAAAAACACCTATATCTTATATTCAATTTTATTTTTTATACATTTTTTTGCACTCGTTGATGATAGGAGTGAGAACATTAAAACGCTATAAATTATATAGTGAAACTCAAAGTGGGCCAAAATGAAAAAATATGACTTAAATATTTTTTATACTTCTACATTGTACCAAATTAAAAAGAAATCGGAGTGTAACTTTTGGGTAGGTTTACTTGTAAGTTACAACATATGATACACGTGACATCATATTTGCAATCGCGAGAGCCCATGAAAAAACTCATAGCTAACTCTAAACTTTAATATGGATGTCTCACTTGAGACATTAATAGTCGTCGCTTGAAACTTGTCACACGTGAGAATGTAGTCACGACGTGAGTCGACTTTTCAATTGAATTATATGATATTTGAATGATATAATACATTACATTGATAATTGCAATTCACCTGAGAAATTCACATTTGACTCTAAGGTCAAATCTGAGTGTCTCACTTGGGATGATCTTCTAACGATTATTAATACAAGTGTCTGTATTGTGTTTGAATATGATATGACATGATATGCCAAATGAAGTTATCAAAATAGCCAACTAATCAATGATAATGCGAACGACCAAAGATCATTAGCGAGTTTTAACAAATGTTAAACTCTCATTGTAGCTCGGTGTATTTTGGTCGGTATTTCTCTATTTTTAATTCAGATGTAAGGTTATGACCTGGCGCAAAGACTCAGGTCGCAGCGACTGCCTTATGCAACTGGGAACACTGTAACAAGATAAAATATCGACGCGCGTGTAGCAAGGAACATCTTGCGAAGGAAATTCTCGCGTGCGAGCGTGCCTTCAACCTTTCCCCACTTCATTCATTAATTCTCACGCCGACTCGCGAGTGCTCGTCGCGCTCTGAGGGCTCGACGATGGCAGTTCGAATTCTGATGCAGATGTGCAAAGTTTATTTCGATAGCGTTATTAGCATGGAAAATTACGCGTAGAAGACGCTTTGATCTTCATGCATTATAAGCAATCGTGGGTTATCATCGAGTGACGATAAACCGCGAAAGACATCGACCCTTTCTCTTGCGAGGTGCAATCTCTGAAAGTTCGGTATTAAACAGTCTTCTCCTCTGGGCTAATCTCTCTCTTTAATTATGACTTGCGGCACGCACCGTGAAGGGAAGCGACGCACAACTCAAATGTTACCGCGCGCCGCTTGTTATGCAACTATTTCAATAAGATGAAAGGATAAGATAGTGCTTGACTTTTCCACGAGAGAGTCGAGTGTAGTCGCGGTTTAGAATGCTACACCGAATGCATTCTGGCGCTGAGCCGTGCAACTATGCAGCGATCCGTTCCCAGCAACTAACTGTTCACGCCATCATTCATAGCGCGATGACGAAGAAGGCAGGAACGTACAAAGGAGAGATACGGTGCGTTCCTGCTTGTCTTCTCGTCGCAAACGCTTGATCGGCAATTAACCCATTGCACCCGCGCGCATTTTTGCCGCGATATCTTTTAAGATAAAATGTACGTTTCGCTGTGCGACCGAATTCAACTAAATTGGACTGTTGATTGTGGTAAATTAATTTCAGTAGGAGGAGAAAAAGAACTCGCACTCAATTCGTGTAAGTGAGTCGGGAACAAACAAAAATCCGACGATAAGAAACGATATATTTGTTACCGCGACCGAAAATGTTCGTCTGAACATTCAGCTGTATTAATCCATTAACATCAATTCAAATGTACTGAAATTTTATGTTGATTTGAGCCATTTATTTGACTACGGAAATGAAATCTATTGTTTATAAAGAGTACCATTCCAATTTCGATGTCGTTCTATTGAATAGCGTTGAGAAAATTTTTAAAAATTGCAATTTATGCAAAATTTTTTCAAAATAATATAAAAAACGCTTTTATATTATTAAAGAAGAATGTTTTTAGGGCTTTTTTCTTCCGCTATTTTCTTTATAAAAACGTGTTAATATCGCTCGGGAAAATATTTAAAAACATGTTCCCGATACTTTCCTGAGAGATACTAACACGTTTTTATGGAGAAAATAGCGGACAAAAAAAATTAGTCCTAAAAACATGCGTTCTTTTATTTTATTTTGCAAAAATTTTGCATAAATTGCGACTTTTTTTAAATTTTCTCAATGTTATTCGATATAGCGACATCAAAATTGGTAGGAATGGTACTCTTTATAAGCAACAGATCTTATTTCCGTAGTAAAATAAATGGCTCAAATCAACGTAAAATTTCAGTACATTTAGGCGTTAATGGGTTAAGGGAATGCCAAAGTGAATGACGATTACTAAAAATGTTGATAACGTCACGAGGCGATTGTCACCAATACGATCAGCTATCATTTTTGTATTTCCTGTATACGAAGTCCGGACACTCATGGAGGAGCCACGATGTATATGTAGATTAGGTCAAACTACACAAAAAATTTCTCTGCCATTTTGCGAATAATATGTAAAATTCTGAGTTATTAATCAAAGATTCGTGAAGGATCATGCGCCATACAGTAAATGAACTGTGATGGCAACGTCTTCTGCCGCTGTATGCTTGTATATTAGGTGAAACTGAACAAAAAAGTTCTCTACCATTTTCTAATTCACCACGTACATAGTTATTAACTAAAGAAGACTGATGTATATTTGTGCACAGTAATGCACCATGCATGCGAAAATTTCACGTAAAAATTAGATCTCAACACACATTATATTTAAAAATTGAATATTAAAATTAGAATATCTCAAGATTCTAAGGACAAGTCAACTTGAAATTTTGAGAGGAGAGACGATAGTTCTTGCAATACAGGCGTTCTCTAAATTACCTTAAACCAGCTGTGAGAGACAGCGAAAGCTCAGCTGGAGAGGTGGACGACCTTCCAGTTACGTTATCTTCGGACGTAATAATGGTTGTACTCGTATAAAGTCGTCGATAACGAGTGAGTCACAAACTCTCGTTAAGAATTTCGCTCGGCTTCTGTAAGCAGCACTCTACGATAAAACGACGGCACGAACGAGTTTACATTATACGCTTCGTTGGACGCGAATTTTATAGACAACGAGGCGACAAACTGACGTACGCGCGTACAAAGAACGTGAGCGACGCGTGAAACTTACGCGCAATTCCAGTCGTCGGCGGAACATTAAATGAAAAATGTTAATTTCTACGCGGAATCGAATGTAGATTCTCGTCAGTGAGTCGAGGTGAGATTTAGCGAATGGAAATGTTTCTAATCACAAATATTACAGTTATTATTCATCGCTTCATCTCAAGGGAGCTTTACGTGCTATTTTTAATATACCAAACGTTATTAATCTCAAATTCTTTTTTAAACCGTACGCAATGTTGATATTACCTCTCTCTCTCTTTCGTTCTCTTCCTTTCTCCCTTTCTCCTCTTTCTCTCTTCTTCGTAGTGTTCTACGAAGAGAATATAATTTTTTTATATAAATTTTTTTCTACTATGTTCTATTTTACTATGTTTTTAACAATTAAATAGACAGAAATAGATTATCAGTAAGATCTGTCTTGTTAAGGAGCATAATAAATTTTGCTAGACATAGATTTTGTTATAGCATACACACACATGTTTTATTGATAATTAATATATTTAATATATCCCGCACGGTTTATAGTATATTTTGCACACAGTTTATAAAATATAAGTAGTGCATACACTAAGGAAAAAATTACCTTAAAATCAACAAATATTTCTTTGATGTGGGTGCCATTAACATATTTATTTAAATCTAAATTTTCTTTATTTAAACCAAATATTGTTTACTTAAATCAGATAAACAATATTTGACTTAAATAAAGAGAATTTAGATTTAAGTAAATATGTTAATGGCACCCATCAAAAAAATATTTGTTGATTTTAAGATAATTTTTCCCTCAGTGAGGTGGAAAGATAGTGAACTATTGCGGAATGTCGATCCATTTCTCGATTGCAAAGTGCTGCAGTAATTTTTACCGCAAAATTCTGCCCGTGTTCAGCGAAAATAAACATTGATCTTAGATCTGTATGTTTCTGCTCGTAGATACGGTGCTAGTGCAACAAGTGGACTTCCTGGAGACCATTCTCGAGGAAACGTCCGACGACCTGCAGAGCGACTCCGATCGCAGCGGGACGACCTATTGGCTGGGATCGGACTCGGAGACCGAGAGTGTGATCCATATTAGGGCGAAGCAGAGATCCGCGGGTAAGCATTCCATAATCCTTCGCCCACAGCCGCTCGATCTGTCGATATTACGGAACGGACTGCGCGCCGAAGACGATCTTGTGAAACCTCGTTCGTCGCCTGGGACGAAGATCGCGGGAGTAGACATTGTTCGCGCGGTCGGTCGTTCTACTTTCTCTTTTCTCTCGGCGACTTAATCTTCCGACCTATTAGGCCCTGAGAGCCGGGACAAGTCCGATCGTAATCGTCGCTCTCGCGATTATTATTCGTCACGATTACGTCGCGCTTGCGCCATCGATGTCGTCGCGTTCGCGATCATTCCACTATGAAATCGGCAAACTTTCCGCAAAGAAGAAACGGGAAGTCTAGATCGTACGATATAACGTCGGATTTGAGGCAGAGATCGGGCGGGCACTACGGCTAAAAATTCGCCAAACTAGCCTCTGGAGTCGCGAAGAATTGCGAGATCATGGACTGAGGGAAAAATTATCTTAAAATCAACAAATATTTTTTTGATGGGTGCCATTAACATATTTACTTAAATCTAAATTCTCTTTATTTAAATCAAATATTGTTTACCTGATTTAAGTAAACAATATTTGATTTAAATAAGGAGAATTTTGATTTAAATAAATATGTTAATGGCACTCATCAAATAAATATTTGTTGATTTGAAAGTAATTTTTCCCTCAATGTGGACTCGTGTGGAAAGACCCGCAAAGCGCAATGGATCTTCATCCACGTGCTCTTTACACACGCGCCTTCAAGTACGTAACCATTGTAACAGTCAGCTGCACGTGGTTGCAGCGTTGCAGGCGCGTGTACTTTCTCTTTTTATATAACGGACGCCTCGGCGCGTGAGGATCGTAGCTCGGAGGCGTAGCCGAGAGAGCGTTCGCGAAACGCAGATGAAGTCTACGATAAAGTCATAAATAGACGAGTAGGGCGGGTACACGGCGTTTTGCTCCAGATATATGCAACTCTAAATCTATCTTGTTCAACTCCAAAATAACGAACATTTCCTCCTTCATTTCGCTTCCTCTAACATCCACATCGCTGTTCTTATCGACGCAGTTCGCGACCCACACGCAAACATATCTCACTTCAAATGTTCCTAATACATTTATAATGCAATTCCAGATCGTAAAGCTCGTAACTTGTTCTCGTAAGACTCGTAAGAACTTATGAATAGACAATTGATACGTAAGCTATGACTTGTATGTTACTAAGCTTACTTGTATGTTTGCTTAGAATTGCAGCATTAGTATTTTTAATATTTATATATATGCGCCTTAAATGTGTTTTCCTTCATTTTTAACCGTGCTTTCGTCAGACAGAGTAAGAGATATGAAATCATCCACGATACAGGAACTTTGACGAGCGCGTCTTCGTGCACGTGCGCAAATATGATGGCTGAATCGACGGTAATCAATGTACGACGGTCGATCACGCGCGTGATGCGCGACGGTCACGAAGTCGACGAGCGGCTAAACGCCGCTTCCGGTTGAATGAACCGCGGCTTCCTGACGGAAGCTCGACGGGGCGAAAGTGACGACCGTGATTGGGACGCTCGAGTGACTTCCGCGACTCGATTTTACGAAGTGGGTCGTTAAACAGCCAGGCTGCTCTCCCTCTCTTTATCTGTCTCTCTCTCTCTCTCTCTTTCTGTCTATCCTCATAAAACTCGCGGAATTAAAAACAAGCAACATCACCGCGTGCTCCGGATTCCGTAAAGTAGGTTTAGGCCACGCGCTCGCGCTCGTCTCGCTTTTACTCTCTCGAGTTCTCCTCGCGTTCCTCTCGTCGTCATTATCATCATCTTTGTCGTCGTTGTTATCCTGACCGCGTATCGTTGACGTTCCCGAAAGATGAACGACTGGATGGCAGCGGCAGTGAGTGCAACTCGGTAGTGCCTAAGAAGCGACGTCGTCGGGATCACCACGGCACTGATCACCAGCAGCACCAGCATCAGGTGACCTATGATGAGTTCCCGGCATCGCCGAGGTCCTCCAGGTCCACCGCTTCCTCCAGATCGAGCTCGCTGCTGCAGTTCGAGTCGTTGGAGAGAACTTGCGCCACCTTGTCACCGTCCAGCTACAGCTTCGATTCGTTGGAATACTCCAACAGGTCGAACGCCTCTCATCCAGAGAACGACTCACCTGACAGCCTGGAACAAGACTACGACAGGCTGCTGCCGAACGGTTTCACCAGCAGCCTGTCGGGTCATTTTCCCAGGATCAGACCTTATCGCAGCTTCGAGAGCCTCGACACGTGTCAGAAGGATGAGACCTTCGGTCAAGCCAATATGTCGAATGGTTTCGCGCCTTTGTACCTGAAGAGGGGTGCCGATCTGTCGAATATCGGCAGGAACAATCAGCGTCCAAGGTAGGCTCGTCTTTCCCGTATTCTCATCTTGTTACATTGCACAATTATTTCTTCTATATACATATGCTTCTATAATGTTCAAAACATTATTTTGTAATATGTTATTTTACGAAAAACAAATTAGATGGGTATCGGGAAATAAATATTTAACTCTTAAAGGACGGGATTATATGGTACCATTTTCTTTTTTCGTAAACTATCAATCGAATCGAATTAAAAACCTCACATAAGATTTTCGGAGTCGCTGACCAAGGATCTGACATCAGAATTTCCAAATTCAAAATAGTAGATTCAACATTTCGAATTTTTATACTTTTAAGTCAATCTATTCAAAAAGGAGGTCATACAAATTTTGGAAGTTGCTGATCACAAATTTAAGATCAGAATTACAAAAATCAAAATTGCAGATTCAATTTGGCAGCTGAACTCAATGATTTTTATATGCAATAATTTTGTAATGCTGATCTTAGATTCGTGATTAGTGACTTCAAAAATCTACACATTTTAGTGTAAATTGTTTGGATAATACTGAAAACCATTATTTTAAACTGTCATATCGAATCCGCCATTTTTAGTTTTACAATTCTGACTTTTGATTCGTGATCAGCAATTCCAAAAATTTATTTAATTTTTGTGTACATTGGCTTAAAAATCAAGAAATTTGCAATGTTGAATCCGTTATTTTGGGTTTTGAGATTCTGACCTCGGATTCGTAATTAGCGAGGAATACGATTCCTGTATACGAATTTTAAGAAAATATTACAGAAAAAAATGTCCCTATCGTTTAGGAGTTAAAAAATACTTTAAGTTTAAAAATGTTTTAAATTATCTTTTCAAATGAGAGGAGCATAGACGAAATAATACCATTCGTTCTTTATTTAAAAACACACAACTCTCATATGCGCGTCTGTGCAAACGCACATTGAGGATGTGATTCACTTTTGTATACGTGCGCGATCGTCTTTTCGAAACATTCGCAGCACCTGCGTTGCAATCCTCTCGCGGAAGCCACAGGCAGCTTTTGTTTGTTATTCTTGGCACGCGCACACGCGTCATTTAACACCCGCCTATTTTTACGCGCCTTATTAGAATATGCACACGACCATTGTAATGACGAATTATTTTCCGAATTAGCAGTCTGTGGGGACTAACGGTAAGTGCATCGCTACGTGTTTCTCGCTTCCGTTAGAAATACCTTATCTGCTTTCCTTCGGTGATCAACCGGTGCTGTTTTCTGTTATTTTCACCGTTTCCCTCCTATAACGAAATATAGCTTGACATTCCCTTGGTGTTGACCCGAATGCCTAAAGATGATTTACTTTTCACACACTAGTGCGATTTCCGCAAAAGTTCCCGTCATTTCCGAGATAATCGTGCAAACAACGAATTCCTTTCTCGCAACAAGTCATTCGTTGGTACACATAGCAGAGTAGTCACCAGCGTTTTTGTTTTCATTTCGAACTCCCCGTCTCGATTTGAAAGAGTTAAACAATGTATTTGCGTTCGCGCAAAGAAGCCGGCTGTCGAGCGTCTCTCGGTTCTCTTGGCAAGGCGCGCCGACTGCTTGCCGCGCGACGATCGTTTTACGGCCAAGTTAAACGCAATCGCGACCCTGAGGCGTACCACCTTGACTTTTACCGACGATATTATAATCGTCAGAAGGTTATCGGGACGCGTTGTTGAGTCGCCATCGCTGTTCAACCCCCGCGAATGCGCTTCTTTGGGGCATAAGAAATAAGCAAACTCGTGCACGCACATCCGCGTATCAATATTCTCACCGTCCGTACGAAACAGAGACTTCTGGCACGAGGACGAGTACGAGGACGCCGACGACGACGACGAGGAAGACGACGAGGACGATTTCGAGGTGTACGATTCGAGGGGCGCGCACGAGCCCCGATTAACGAGCGGTTTCGACGACCGTCTGCTGCTGTTCGGTGAATCCGGCAAGTACGCGACGTCCTTGGACTACCGGAACACGATCGACCTGCGGGAAATCGGCGTGGAGACGAAGAGGGACACGCTTTTGGAGCTCAAGTCCGGGCAGAAGACCGCCAGGTTAAATATAGCCGTCGCTGGCGGCGGCTGCGGCGGCGGCGGCGGCGGCGGCGGTGGCGGTGGCGCAGAGCACCATCATCATCACCATCATCATCATCATCATCATCAGCATTCGCAGCAGCAACAGCAGCAGCAGCAGCAGCAGCAGCAGCAGTTCCAACAGCACCAGCACCAACAGTACGACCAGCAAGATCACCATCACCACCACCACCACCACCATCGCCGCCGCCGCCAACAACAGCATCAGTACCAAGGGTGGAGCGACGAGGAGCGCTTTAATTTTAGATTCACGGACAAGTCGCAGAGCGCGCCCAGTCTGCTCGACAGCATCGAGGAGTCAGCACGGCTGAACGGCTGCACGGCTCGTCGCACCTCGAGGACCACCTCCTACGTGTCCACGTCGAGCCTCTTCGAGAATTACACGCGGGTGGCGAGCGTGCCGGTGGATCTGAATCTCTGTGGCCTCGTCGCGTGCGACGAGCGTCGCGACGACGAGATGAATAGCCACGAAATGGCGGAGACCGCGCCCGCCGATCAAGAGAAGAACACCATGAAGAGTCCCGAAGAGGAGGAAGAGGTGAACAGCTCGACGGAGAACGACGACGAGGCACCGGGAGAAGGAGGAAGAGGAGGAACTTCGGGCAAGGTCACGTTGACCAGTTCGGTGAGAACGCAGCCGGCGCAGAGCGCGCTCATGGATGGCGGCGGTGTGGATGATCGTGAAGAGAAGAAGAGCGCCGAGCGCGTCGAAGATCTTAGCGAGCGGCAACCGCGCAAGCAGCCGAAGGCAACGTCGACCGTGAAGACACAGGATCGTGCCAACTGCGTGCTGGACATGGCGATGGTGACAGAGAACGACATCGACGAGGCCATCAAGCAGTTCAAGCGCGAGGTGGAGGAGGCCACAGCCTCCGGAGTGGCGAACGCCGCCATCTTGGCGATGGAGACGATCCAGCGAACGCCATCCGGCCGCGCGAGAAGCCGCCGAGTGAAGAACAACGCCAGCTATGAGCTGGCGCAGCAATTCGAGGTGGACGAGCGGAATTTCCGAGCTCGCGGCAAGGAGAACAGCGGTGAGACGATCCGAGGCGGTTCACCCAGCAGGAAACATGTGTTGAACAACGCCAGTTACGAACTGGCGCAACAGTGTGACTACATCAAAGCGCCGCAGAACAGCAGAGGCGCGTTTCACCGGATGGACGCTTGCGATGAGCTAGAGGAGGCGTCCTCGTCCGGACGCTCTTCCGCGCTGAGGATCGCCGACGTGATGCGTCAGATGGGCTCTGGCTCGAACATCAGCGAGGATTCGTACTACAGACCCGCGGAGAATTACAGCAGCGCGTCCTCCAGGACGGTCAACGAGCAGGACGACTCGTTCTTTGGTCAGATAAAAAAAAACTCGGATCCATTTTCGGCCTGTGGCGATGTTAGCGCGCGTCCGCGCCTAGTAGACGACGAGGTAGATTACCCCTGCTTGGAAACCAAACCCATAGGAGCGTCCTATTTGGAGGGAGTCGTCCTACGAGAGAGGATCGAGACGGAGATACCGCGGCTGGAGAAGAGTGTCCTTGAAAATTCCGCGCTGATATCCGCGCACGAGGAGCCTTGCCCTGTGAACCCCCGCGGAGGAGAGCTCGGAGGCGCGAGAGAGGAGAATCTGATCGGTGAGTTTTACCCGGAGCGAGTGGAGCGGCTACCTCGTCGGCAAGAACACGAGAGCGACGATCCTGGACAGCGGGAGGAGTCACGGAACGCGTCTAGCGACTCCGAGGAGGAGCGTTCCCCGAGTCCTGGTTCGAGCGGTCGAGGCGCCGGCGAACGTCTGTGGAGGGTCGTGATCGAGAAACAAGCGACTAGGCAGCAGGAGGTAGAGGAGCACCAGCAAGAGAAGGGAGCGCGGGACGGGGCGGAGGTGGTGGAAAAGAAGGAAGAGGAGGTGGAGAAGGAGGGACACAGTGTCCACGGTGTTGGCTCGTCCCCACCCGGCGGCCAAACGAGAGTCGGCGAACGTAGTGGGAAGCCGACGGTGGCCGTGGCAGTTGATACGAATCATCGTGGTGATCGCGACAAACGTCACGAGGAGCGCGCGTCGAGCAACGAGGACGCGGTCGTAATCGCGAAACGGCCGTTCGTCGTTGCCACCCCGAAGACGAAGAAGGAGCACAAGTACGAGGCCACCGTTTCATCCTCGTCTTCACTGTCGTTGCCGTTGTCGACGTCCTCATCCGGCGCAATGAAGAGCGAGGAGAGGAAGAAGGGTGGCCTGGGTGGTTTTCTGCAGAGATTCTCCCGACTGAGATTCAGCGGCAGGACGAAGGTGCCGCGCTCGGAAGCGCAGAAGAAAGTAGCCGAGCCGACCTCGAGAACGCACGAAGAGCAGCAGTCGACGACCGCGACGACCAAGAAGAAGGAGCCGGACTACATCATCATACCGTTGCATCCGCCCGAAGAGGAGAGGAGACGCCAGGAGGTTGCCACTCTCGAGGAAGCCGCTAGGAGGAACAATGTGGACATTCAGAGAAGCGCCTCCAGTGTCAGGTGAGTCGCATGCAAAACATTCAACGGATCTCCGTGTGTGTTCTGAGCTGAGGTGCTCGGCAGCAACAAGTTGTCGGAGCGCGTCATGCAGAAGCGTATAAATAGAGAGGTCTTAAGTAGCTCGCGAAGCTGCTTGTCAAACCTTCAACGACGTTCTCGTTCTTCGGTATGCGCGATGCAGTAATGGCACACCGCGATTTATTTCGATTAATCAAACAACATTTTTAAGAACACTGACTCTGACTTCTCCTTTCTCTCTCGTTGTTTACGCGTCGCGTGACGTCCTTGTACACCTTCGATACCAGCAACTGTCAGTGTTGTGTGTTTACTATTTATTACCCTTGCGTCTAACTCTTTTCCAAGCACCTTATTAACGCTAACGTTATAATACGCAAACATGAAATCGCCGTTGCCATTATCGCCTCGCGCTCCTTACGTCTACATCAGTTGATGTATTGGAAGATCGATATTCGACTAATTGAATAAACCGAGGCGAAATTCAAATGAGCAAAATCAGACTAAGCGAAAATTGAATTCTAACTTTTAATCAGAGAAAACTCGGAGAAAAAGTATCTTAGACATAAAGAATGTTTATTCTATAAGTATTAATAATAACATGTTACTTATACTGATATATAATATATTATTCAAATAAGGAAATATTCATTTTCTTAAAACCTCAGTTTTTCGTGAAAGCAATTATTTATTCTACTAAAAAAAGAACTTAGATTAAATAAATACGTTATTTATTAATAACCTGCCGAATAAATATTTTTTTTTAGATATTTTTTCCTCCACAATATACGGATTTTATTGTCGCGAAATATTTTCTTCGCTTCTCTTCGGCAACACACGTCTGTCACTGCGAGCTAGCAAGCTACACAGAACTCCAATAATGCCTTTCATTTCCTACACATCTTTGCAATTCAGTCACACAGTGAGGAAAAGATACTTACGGGATTTCTTTGAATATAAAGTTTATTTCTGTCAAATAAGCTTATTTTTGCGAAACTGTTATCTCACAAATTAACTTCTATTTTTTCTCAGTGCATTAAATGCAACAGTAATAATGCATATATGCACTCACCGTGCATATTACCGTTGCATCTGGCTGGGTCGCTGATTCTTCTCGAAATTAACAGTCATGATACAAAAATATGTGGATAGGAATGTGTGCGAGCCAAGATACTCCAGCCGGAAATGGAAGATATTACTCGAGTCCTATGTACTCAGTTGTAAAACGATGTTCTTTTCAGCTGCACTGCTGCACTGGTGCAATAAGTTAAAGTGAGATAAAATATATTTGTCACACTCTAACTTATTGCACCAGAGCGGCAATGCAGCTGAAAAGAACAGACCTAGAGTTTCACACATTTTTCTGGTGAAGTTGCAGTACTTCAAGTGGTCACAGTGGCGAGCCATTGCTGACGAATTTGCGCAGTAATCGATCAACAATAAAACATGTAGCCAATCATTGCGCGAATAGTGGTCAATAGTGGCTCGCAATTATGGCAACCTGGAGCGCTGCAGCTTTATTGGAAAAAAGTGTGAGGACCATTTTGCAACTGACAAGGGAACATCGCGAACCCGAACTCTTTGATTTTGATACACTTTTGTGTGTATGTAGAGTAAATCAACACATGAATAACGGTATATTCCATTTGTACTCTATCGCTATTTAAAAATATGATTTACACTCTCAAAGTAAAAAGGACGATTCCACTTTTTCGTGTATTAGTCTTAAATTAAAGGAGATAGAAAAAAGTTTTTCGAATAAAAGTTTAAGTGCTGAAGTCACTTAAGTGAGTTAAGTGCTGTAATTATTGACATAAGCATAAATAAAAAAATTTTTTATAGATATTTTTTTTATTTATGCTTATGCCAATTTATAGCACTTAACTTATCATTAAACTTATAGCACTTAATTTATTATTAAACTTTTATTCGAAAAAATTTTTTCTATCTCCTTCAATTTAAGAGTAATACACGAAAAAGTGGAATCGTCCTTTTTACTTTGAGAGTGTAAATCATATCATTAAATAGCGATAAGACACAAATGGAATATACCGTTCATGTATTGACTCTACATACTCACAAAAGCGTATCACAATGAAAGAGTTCGGGTTCGCAGTGTTCCCTTGTGATTGTACACACAGGGCCTAATAACGTCTTCCGGCTAGTGTTTTGGCTCGCGCGCATTGCACCCACATATTTCTATGTGTTTGAGATAAATCAACAACTGGTACTTCATATTTGATTTCCCACAACGTGCCCTTTGACCGGCACAGGCAGTCGCGCCCTTCTAATGTGTGCTCGATTAGCGCAACTGATTCCTCGCCATGTGTCACCGCCATTATCGTCCCACACCGCACGCCAGCGCGCGATTGCCGTTCGGTTTTGTTTAAATCCACTTTCATTTCGTCCCACACCGAGGCACCGCCTGTCGCAATCGCAGCGTCGACGGCGAAACGTTCGTTTCCTCCCATCGGGGAACGCGCACGGCTGCGCGCGCGTTCGGCCCGCGTCTAATTCCGCTCTAATCAGGCCTCGCGCACCACCGTTAATCGATGTAATTTCGCTCTCGCGCCTGCACCTACGTTGCATACACGTGGTCAACCACACTGCCGCCGTCCGAAGTCGGATCTCCCCAGCTCGTCATTCTCTCCGGTCCACGGAACCGTGCCGTGGGTCGCGCGCCACGCGACGGAACCAGTTCGGTTCTCTTAATTAAATTTCACTCTCGCCCCGCGCCACGTCATTCCCGCGTAATGCGACCCAATTGCATTTTATAACCCGTCCAAACCGCCCTCCTCGTGCCTGCTGCCCGACTAAAAAACCTCGCTCTTCCGACAGTCTTCCGACAGTCACGCCGCGCGCCGACCCACTTTACAAATTTGCGCGCGGAAAATTAAAAGGACACGTCCGCAGCGTCGACGTCGCGCTTGAATATCGAGCGAATATGTGACGCGCGGGACGAGGGGAATTAATTGCGACCGCGATCGTCGGGGATCGCTCGTAATTTCTCGTCGGCGTGTTTTCATTGGCCTGCCGTGCTCGCCGCCAATCAACATTGCTCTTCTGGGAACGTCGTATCTGATGCCTCCCTCTTGCGCCTTTAACAAACATTTGCTTTATCGTATTACATTTCGCCGAAGCGGCGTCTCTCGTTTCGATTCAGCTGCGCCGAAAACGCTTCTTCAGTGAGAATAGAGAGCGGCTTCTGTTTCGCGAGGGAAAAGGAGATAGAGACGGGGAGAGGGAGAGAGAGAGAGAGAGAGAGAGAGAGAGAGAGAGAGAGAGAGAGACTGTTTTCTTTCTGCCGACACGTGACGAATAAATTTGCAATTCCGCAAAAATGCGAAACGCGTTGCTGACGATACACAAACAAACACATACATACACGAGAAACGTAGCGGAGAAATGATTTATTTATTTAGATTAATAATTCTTCGAAGCGCCCGACAGAGATCGCGTGATTCCACATTTTCTTGGTTTGAAACTGTTTTTTTTTTTCAAATTTCTCGCGCTCTCTCGTAATGCAGGCTACTTCGTTGAAGGATTATCTCATTTGTAACAGCGGAGGATTTTTGGCGGCTGCGTATCTCGGTTTGTCTTTGCGAGACGTTAAACAGAACGTAATCGATATCCCACGCCTGTTCGCGTTTAGGAGCAATGAATCATCGCAAGCTGCGGGATGTAATTTAGGAAGCCGCCATTCGAGCTTTCGCAAGTGGCTGGAGTTCGCGGGCTGAACTCATTTCGGAAGGATGCGGTATAATTGAACTTAGTTATGCAACGGTATGCAAAATAGCGAGTGAGGCCCTGTACTCCAGAAAATATATCATTCACCGGCGACTTTTAAGAAACTAACGTGTCCTTTTTGCGCGTATAGCATCTCTCTCTCTCTCTCTCTCTCTCTCTAAATTTCTTCGAGTAAAATTCCACTTGGAAAAAGATGGTAGTTGAGTTGTTCAAATTCGAGTAAACTTTTACTTACTATAGATTATATTCTTGCGCTCTAAATCGTCGAGTCAATATTTTCATTCAAAGCTAAGGAGTGAATCCGATGTATTCTGGTTTCCACTGGAGCGAATTCATTCTAATTAAAGGAAACGTTTGTTCGCGTGGATTAAGAATCCACTCTGCAGTTTGAATGATACGCTTACTCTTGCAATCTCAAGTAGCACAATATAGTGAGAACAAGAAACGATTAATCTTCTTAAAATCATAGTTATTTTCGGCTGTCCAATTTCTGTCTTGTTCTCACAAAAGATACCAATAGTAATATACGCACATATAAGGTAATTATCATTAACTCCAAAGCAGTGTATAAAGCAAGAGAGAATAGAAAAATTTACTGTAGAACTTAATAGTCGAGAAACAAATCAACATTCTGTAATTGGCTTTTTTCATTGCATATATATTATGTATATTCTAGGAACTGGAATGTATCAAGATTACAAAAAATTTGCTATGTTTTTTAGCGAAATTATGTTCGTTAACAGGATGGACTTTACTCACTAGTTTATTCCTGCGCTACTAGTAAAAACAAAGAATCATGATATTTCCTTCATGTTATTACTTATTATAAAAATGGCTTCTCTGACTATAATCATTCCCCTGTGCGGTTACAGTCTCAAATATATATCAGGCACCTGTATATTCACAGTATATTTTCACTGCGTTCAAGCGAATTTTCACACGTTTTGAGTGAGATTTCACTCCGAGGAATTTAGAGAGTACTCTTGTACCTTTTCTCCGTTCGACTTCTCGCGCGTCGTGTACTAATTACGAGAAACTCGGAAGCCGAGATTACTTTTCGGATGACAAGCCTTTTCCAACATCGTTCTTTAGACGAGAGGTCGAGTGTGTCTCCTGCGAGCCGGGCTAACCGACATCTCGACTTGGCGCGGCGCGAGCTGGAGACTCGCTCGTTCGCCCGCTGGTGCGTGCATGCCATAGTTAAATATACACCTTGCACACATGTAGGTGTGCGGCTGGCAGGGAGTCGCCTTATTAATCGTATTCCATTCCGGTTCGAGAGTCCGGAAGTCGCGTTCTCTCGACAAGGCGGCTCGACGTCGCGTTTGCGGCGGTGATCGCGGAGATTCCCGGCGACGGCGATGGGACCTTTTGCTCTCCTTCGTCGTCGCGAAGGCGAAAGGCCCGCGACGACGATGACGGTGTCCCCTCGAGGCGTTCGCCAGCCCGCCCTTATCCGCGCTTTTTTACGACCCGTTTCTGCCTTTCTATCTCGCCGCCTTGTAAAAACGGTAACAAACGCGCCCATTTAGTCGCCTCTACGACTAACGACGGCGCAATTAAGCTCGCTCGCGACTCCCGTGCTCATTCCGGGACTTATTCCAGTCGCATCGTCGTCCGGACTGGTTGTCGCGTCGCTCTCGCGCAAGTTGAATTCCCCCCGTTAAACATTTTCTCCTTTCCTTCTTTCTTTTTGTGTTTTCAATATCAGCATCGTCACATTTCATCTTCAATATTAATCCTTACGGTACGGCTTTTTGGGTGACTCTCTCTTGCAGTCTTCGAATTAGAATTCTTCATATACATAAAAAATAGACTAGTAAAAAATAGACTAGTAAAAAACGTGACATCCCCGTCGCGCTATAGTGGCTTTCTGGATTGTACACGGAAAAAGAAAGTTTGATTGGATTAACCGGATGTCTGATGAAATACACATGAACGAACCAGAAATTCCCCGGTTGAATTTATCAGAATTGTATTCACATTAACAACCTGCTTGAGCAGAACGTGCAACTGTTCTCAATTTGGACAGTTTTAGCACAATATCAGCTATTTATTCACTTCTGTTTTTATTCAATGCCGAACCTTTTTCTGTATTGAAAGTTGTGAAAGAACATAAATTCATTTATTTCGGAAGAAATCATACAGAAATATCTGATATAATAGAGCAGAATTAAAATATTAAGCAAAATCTCTATTATTATTTGCATAAATCTCAAAGTATATTATTAGTAAAAAATTAAAACTTTGTATGACTTGAATATATTATTTTTAAAATACTTCCAATTGTACTAATATAATTATAATTATTATTTTCATTTATTTATTACCATAATTTATATTCCAATTGTACTAATATAATTATAATTATTATTTTCATTTATTTATTACCATAATTTATAATTATTATTTTTTATTTATCTTTATACTTTCTCTTTTTTCTACTAATTTGCATGGAAAATGTGGATAATAATGATAATAATAATAAGAGAAAGAAGAAAAACTGTATTTGTATTACACAAAATTGTTACGACGCCACAATATATATACATATATGTATATATACAGTGGCTTCCCGTATCGTAAGGGTTAATTAGGTGTCGACGCACACGTCGACGAGATATCTCGCGTACGCGTTTTCAGGGTCTCGAAAAGCGGCGTTGTTTTTACGAGCGGTCGTATACTAATTTTAGAGAACCGCCCGATGATTCCCCATCGTGGGTTGCGCTTATAAACATGATCTCACGCTACGTGGCGATAATAAAACCGTGCGCTCTCGCAGCGTTCACATGCGTGCGTGCGTGCATGCGCGCGCGCGCGCGCGCTCGAGGTTTCCGCATCGTAATTCCATTTGCGCCGCGCAACTCTCCTACAACTTTACAACTGCGTCTTTCTTTCTCCCTCTCCCTCCGCCTCGCGCGCCGCGGGACTCGATAGCAATTAGGCTGTTCCGACTGCCGCGCTTTAGAGTACGCGAAAAGCGCGCCGCGGAATAAAGAATGACGGGGCAATGAAGCATTCGGTAGAAAAGTTGGTCGCTAATTACTCGAGCGGCCGAGAGGAAGTCTCAATTACCGCGCACGTGCACCGCGCCAGTTAGTTGGCTAACCGAATCGCCCCGCGACCGAATCGCGCCGCCGAGCGGATAATTCGGCCGCGCGAGCTCTCAGTGTTGATTGTTCCGCAATCGCGTAAACACTCGCGGTCAGCGCGAACGAGGGGTCATCGGCTGTAACAGATTACAAACCGTCATTTCTGACGTTCGTTTGTGAACCTAACGAGGCCTCTCTGGAATAGTGGCTGGTCTGTGTGCGTGCGTATCCGGCTGCTTATCGGTGCCTCCTCGCGACGGACTAGAAAGTGTCTCATTAATGACTGTCCTCCTCGCCGGCGTGTATAGATGCGCCTCTATCGATATCGTCGCGTTATTCGACCCCGCTCCTCGGAAATTCAATAAAGCGCCCACTGTTCGCCGCGATATACGGCGCACTCCCTTTCGCGAGTCGAAAACAGGAGTCGGTGCAGTCCAATTTGGCCCGCGATTGATATCTCGCGAGTAACATCTGCTGATTTACCGTACGACGAGTATGTGTGGCCTTCAATTGGTATCTCGGCGAGAACGTGAACACTGCGGGAACGTGTCCGTAGTTAATGCATTAAAGGTCATTAATTATTTCACAACCGTTTCTAATTTGAGAGATCGGTCTGTTTATATCCCCTCTACTGTGGTAAGAACGGACGATTCTCTCGTCTCACTGAAATTACAGTCATTGTCTGCATGAATCGTACGTTTTGTTGTTTCAGTACAGAAGCAATTTTAGCAATGAGATTATACATGTAAGGTTATTGTCAGCATCATTATTATTAATAGCGTTATCATCACTGCGGTCATTATTAACACAACAATATGGCGTTTAATGTTCTCTTCAAATTCCACTCGAAAAGCAGAGTGACAGCTGAGTCACTGAGGATTCGAGTCATTTTTCACTTCTGTAAAATGAATTCTCCGCTCTGAATCGTTCAGAGAATATTTTCACTCGAAACTGAAGAGCGAAGCCGATGTATTCCAACGTCAGTGGAACATACTCATTCCAATTGATTGAGACATTCGCTCACATGGAGTCAGACTTCACAGCTCGAATCTTGTGCGAAACATTCACTCCTGTGGTTTCCAGAGTGGCAGTATCTTCACTATCGCTTCACATGTTTTGACTTTCGAGATTTCACTCGAAGAATTTTAGAGAGTATAGAAATGAGTCTTTCTTGCCTGTACAAGCTGTCCCAGACTCTCCTCCGCAATTTTTGTGGAAACGTAGAACAGATTGAGGTGAACACAACAGTTTGGGATATTCGCAATAAATCTCGAGATTATTTAGAGTTTAGTTGAATTCTGATATATGTGACATTTATCTGTAGTCGCGTGATTCAATTGAAGAGTTCTTGTCTGACACTAAGTTCAAATCAGAATTTCTCACTTGAAACGTATTTCAAATAATAACTATTGATACGGACCTCAATGTAGAGATCTCACATTGGTATCGGGATTGCTTCTTAACGTAGACATAATTGGTCATTAGAATGCTGAGAAATACAAGTGATGGTATTCAATAGAAAACAGTGCTCTGTGTATAAACGGAACACTGGTCGTCGATGAGTTAGCGGGTGCTATCGCGGTTTCGTCGCGACGATCGCCGAACTGCGTCGGCTTCGTCGATAAGACTTTGAGATTAGACGTCAAACCTTTTGACGTTGATAACGTTAGTAACGTCGGACGGCCGAGCGAAGGCAAAAAGGGTTGATACTCCCAGTCAAGCGCGGACGGACGGGAAGAGAACTCGTCGTCCAGCTGGTAGCTGGCGCTCTATCGAAAACCGATAACGTCGCGGCAGCGTTATAAAACGCTACCTCAACGCCAATTTCCAATTGTCTCATCAACAACAGCGTCGTTGCGGAATAAAAACTGCCTCGTGCTTCCGTTCGGTGGCTGCGCCATTCCGCCGCACTGCCCCGACTACGCTATACAAAAGCGACAAAATAGACGCCCTTATAAGCTTTACGTAACGACGCTCACTTTCCCCGCCCGTTTAGCGAAGCAATTACCCCATATACGCCGCGCGACCACGTTGAATCGCCAGAGGGAGAAAACAAAGAGGAAAACAAAGAGGAGAGCGGAGGAAAAAGGAAAGAAAATAAACCGGCGGACAACCAGCGTCTCTCCTTTCACGTCGAGCGCGAAACCGAAGAGCGCGACTACACGCGTCGCTCGCGTGTCGGCTGAGACTCGCGGCAGCCTAATTGCGAGTTAATTAACGCGACTCTGCGAGTCTGCCCGGCAGGGTCAGCCTTGCGAAACCGCCGATGCAACGTCGATATCCAATTAACCCGCGCAACCGTCGTCGTGGCGCGTCGCGACGACGCACAGTGCCACCCGCGACGGAGGTCAGTCGCGTTCGCCTACGAAGCTCGCGCTCACTAGTCTTCCGCTCCTCCTCGGGAGCGCTCCGGGGAGAACATGTCCTGGCTGTGGCGCGGTGCGCACCACGATCGGCCGTTCGTATCAGCGTGGCTCTCCCGCCGCGAGGTTGCCCGTCCAACCCTCGCACCACCCCCCCCCCCC